GGTAGCTGTCCAGTAGCTAAGAGAAACGGTGGCTCTCCCGTGGCAATGTTGGGGCTGCTGTTGTAGGCAAATTCCACTGCTGCCAAGTGCTGATCCCAGTCAGTTTGCATAGCATTCACACATGAGCGTAGCGCATCCTCCAAGGTTCTGTTCATGCGCTCTGTCTGACCGTCAGTTTCAGGGTGGTAGGCTGTAGAGAGTCGAATCTGTGTGCCCAGCAGTTGAAACAGTACAGTCCAGAGGTTGCTGAGGAACCGTGTGTCTCTGTCACTGATTATGGCTGAGGGCAGTCCGTGTAGCCTCACCACGTGTGTGAAAAACAGCTTGGCAGTTTCAGCAGCAGTCACCGTGCCAGTTGTAGGGATGAAGTGAGCCATCTTGGACAGCTTATCAATCACCACGAGAATGCTATCAAAGCCTGTAGGGGTGCGGGGTAGATCTGTGATAAAATCCAGAGAAACACAAGTCCAAGGGGCTGTTGGTATCTCCAATGGTTGCAGCAAACCAGCCAGTGCAATGGTGCGAGCCTTGTTGACCTGACAGGTAGGGCATGAAGCGACGTACTCAGTTACACTCCGGGACAGTCCAGGCCCGTAGTAGTCACGAGAAATGGCAGCATACGTCTTGTCACTGCCAAAGTGCGACCGGTTGTCATGGTACTCGTGTAATAGCAGCTGGCAAAGCCTGGAGTCATCAGGTACACAAACAGCACCAGAATCTGCACGGGTCCAAAAAGGGTTGCTGGAAAGGAAGGATGGGTCATGAGAGGCTTTCTGTTGGTACAGCTGATCACGGTTGTAACCACGGCTGAAACGAGTGATGAAGTTGCGGTCCCATGTAACCACTCCCATGACATTCAGCTCCTCTGCTGCTGGCCGTGACAGAACATCCGCCGGATTGAAGCGCCCTGGTTTGTACACAATCTGGAGGTTGGGGACGTACTGCTCCAGAAACTGAACCCACCGCGCCTGCCGTGGTGTGATCTGTGACTGTGTTTTCAGGTACTCCAGAGTTCGGTGATCAGTGAAGACCATGACGGGCTGCATCTCTACATAACAGCGCCACTTCTTCAATGCATGCACCACAGCAAGTGCCTCTCTCTCGTGAATGGGGTATGCTCGCTCTGCAGCAGTCAGCTTCCTTGACTCAAAGGCTATTGGCTGCAGCCCAGCTTCCTGCTCCTGGCAGAGAATGGCTCCAAGGGCAACATCTGATGCATCACACCAGATGAAGTACGGGAGCTCTGGATTCGGTACTGCTAGGGCAGGGGGTGAGGTCAGAGAAATTTTGAGCTGCTCAAAAGCTTGCTGCTGCAACGGTCCCCAACTGAATGATGAGTCCTTCCGTAAGAGATCGGTCAGAGGTGCTGCCACTGCTGCAAACCCCTTCACAAACCGCCGGTAGTAGTTAGCTAACCCCAAGAATGCCTGCACCTCCTTCACTGTACTCGGCTGCTTCCACTGCTTCAGCACTGCTACCTTGCTGTTGTCCACCTCCAGCTTCCCATGAGAAATAACGACCCAGAAATGACAGCTTCGTTTTGGCAAACTCACACTTGGAACGCTTGGCATACAATCTGTGCTCACTCAGTCGTGCAAGGACCAGCTCAAGGTGTTTCAGGTGCTCCTCACGAGTGCGACCGTAAACCAGCAAGTCATCAATGAAAATCACCAGAAACTTGTCAATGAAATCACTGAAAATGCTCTGCATCATGCCTTGGAAGGTGGCTGGAGCGTTGGTGAGACCAAAGGGCAACACTCGAAACTCATAGTGACCGTACCGTGTTCGGAAAGCTGTTTTTGGGATGTCCTCACTTTGAATCCGCACCTGATGATACCCCGAACGCAGATCCAGCTTCGAGAAGTACCGTGCCTCACCAACTTGCTCGAACAGCTCATCTATCCGTGGCAGTGTGTACCGGTTCTTCACTGTTATCTTGTTCAGCCCACGGTAATCTACACACATCCGCAGAGAACCATCCTTCTTTCGCACGAACAGCACCGGATAAGCATATGGAGAGGAACTAGGCTGAATGAATTCCTTGGCTAACAGGTCCTCTAACTGATTCTTCAACTCCTTCAGCTCCACTGCACTCATCTTGTAGGTCGGTCAAACAGGTGGGGTAGATACAGGAATCAGCTCTATCCTATGATCTGCAGCTCGCTTAGGAGGAAGGCCAGCCGGTAAGTCCTTCGGAAACACCCCTGAATTTTTTTCCAGCAGTTTCTCCACACCCCATGTCAGTTCCTTATCCTCATGTGATGCTGAAACCGTTGGTATTGCTGCTTCAGGCGATGTAGGCTGAACCTCTGTGATGAGACCTAGAAAAACTGCTTCCTCCCCCCGAATGGCCTTACCAAACTGCTTCGCACTAATCAGTTGCAAGGTCATCTCCTCAGGCTGCTGCACCACTGGTAGGCATACAGATCTTCCCCCAAACAGCACCTTCACCTCCCTAGTTCTCCAATCCACCTGAGGGTTCACTGCTGCCAACCAGTTTCTGCCCAAGATGATGTGATGACTGTCAAGCCAAATCTGTTGAAATGAAATCTTCCCATGAAACTCCCCTATGTTGCAGCTGACCGGGTACAACTCAGGTCCACAGCTTCTCACCACACCATCCGCCATGCGCACCGTACTCTCCACTGTACCGCTCTGCACAGGTAACTTCAATTCATGCACCAGCCGAGAAGAAATGAAATTGGATGAAGCACCACTATCCAGCAACATCTTTACCTCCTTACCACGAATCTGCCCCCGAAGTACTATTGCTCCCTCCGACTCCTGCTGCAGCGGCGTTGAGGATGGAGTCAGCAAGGTGGGGCACTCCTCACCACCAGCAACTCGCCCCGAGGTTACTGATGAGGCTTGTTTTTCGGCTGCCTAGGCTTGGTAGGGCAGTTGAGTGCTTTGTGACCGCGTTTCCCACTCTTGAAGCAATTTCCAGCAAAGCCCTTTCGCTTCTCCTTGTTCTTGTCAATCGTATCCAGCTCCATCGGTGTAGGTCCTGCACCACCACGTTGCTCCCCATGGATAGGCTGGAACATGTTCGGACTGAACCGCATCCCACGGTTGAAACTGTTACGACGGTTACCGAAGTGAATCTCATCGTAACGTTCAGCGACACGCGTCAGTCTCCTCAAGCGAACTACAGCCCTGCACCTCTAACTCCATCCTAACGTTGTCTTTCAACCCGCGCTTAAACTTGTCCAGCGCCTCAGCCGTTGAAAGGTCTGAAATTTCGATGAAGATGTCACAGAATTCAGCGATGTAATCTACTACAGAAGTACGCTGCCGCAGATTCGCAAGTCGATCAAGTGCCCTTGCCATCATGTTGATAGGTTCGTATGACGCAACGAGAGCTTCCTTGAATTGCTGCCAGGTTTGGATAGCAGGTCGCACCGATTGCCACCATGCAACCGCAGATCCTCTGAGTAGGGTCCCGGCGAACGGTCCCACTCTTCACCAGCCACGTGACTTAAGCGTATATATTCTTCCACAAGGAAGAGTCATCGTCGAACCACCGGTTGTCCTTTCCCTGGAACAAAGGTGTCCGGCATCGATGCTCTCGCATGGGAAAGAGATCCCACTACGCTTCTCGGAGCTGTATCTACTCCTTGCTGTGCAGCTGCGTTCTGCAGGGCAGCCTGCACTTCCTTAGCTACGAGCTCTCGAACCGCGGCATCACGCTCTGAATCGGCCATGGTGCAAAAATCTCCCGGCAGCAACTCACGAGGAAAAAACAGGCTCGGATACCAAGTGGAACAAGCTAAATGGCTCTTGGGCTTGTTCTAGTGTTTCTGGCTGAGAATTTCACCAAAGGATTTTCCTTAGAAGCGAGGAACAACAAACAGAAAGAGAAGCAGCAAAACTACTCTCTCTATCATACGAATGTATTTCTACTACTGTACTGTACTACTGTACTTTACATTTCTGGACATGCAGCTCGGAATGCCGATTCGGGTGGCCAGCCCTGACATCGAGCCGCATTCCTCCTTCCTATTTACAATTTGTACAACTCACTGCAATTGCACACGTGTAACATTCCTATTTCTTCAATTCTGGACTTCCGCCACCTGTCCCACGCGAAAGTCCCCCAAAGTCAGCCAAGACACGAAACCTCTGTTTCGTCCTCTTCACGCGGGTCCCCCACGTCCTGCTCACTTCCGCCCTTGTGCTGCCCACGTTCGCAACTACACGCTGTCGCTGCATGACTTTGCCTCCCGTGTACTTCACGCGGGCTCCAGTGCAGTCAGCTCCACTTGTTACAGTTGATTACGGCAAGAATTTTGCTCCCGTCAGTCGTCACAGGTCGCTCCGGATTCTACTCGCTCTCGCATGCTCTGGGTCTTAAGTTGCGACAAATTGGCGTCGCCACTGCTTTTCTTTACGCCCTCGTTGATGCTCTTATTCTCGTCAAGCAGCCGCACGACTCCATCACCAACCCCTCGCTCGTGTGCAAGCTCAATAAATGTCTCTACGGTTTTAAGCAAGCACAGCGTCTCTGGCAGCAATACCTTCACATTCCACTTGTTCGAATCGAATTTCGTTAGTTGCAGCATGATCAAGGCATGTACCGTCTCGATCTCGACGATGCATTCGTTCTCCTCGTTGTCTATGTTAACGTTTTCGACTACCGTCACCCAGTACCTTGGGCTTAATATCACCGAGTCTTCGACGTCTATTCATCCCTCTGTCAAGAAATATGCCGACACGTTTTCAATGCGATTTCCTGTGCCGACAACTACAACTTCTACGCGAGACCAATCTAATCAGTTGGTCGACCACGACCCTCTCTCTCTCTCACTCTCGACGCTGTTACTCGTTGTCAGCAACTCATGGGCAATCTACTCTTCACAGCAGACCTGAAGCGACAGTCTACTCTTTGCCGCGCCCTGATTGGGTGTGAATTGTCATCAACTCTTGGGCAGTCTACTCTTCCAACCTACTCTTTGCTGCGTCCTGATTGGGTGAAAATTTTCTAACTTAACACTAGAGCAATGAAGTTGGAATGTGCAGGCGAATTCTTCCAACATCGTCATGGTGTAGGGTTGAAGAAGAACCGGTGGAAGGGCAGGCCTAGTAGCGCGTAAAAGTGAACCAACAACTTTCCGAGCTCACGCACACTAGCAAGGTCCTCTCGCTACCACTCGAAGTTGGTCCTTAGAAACGTATCCCTACACAAAGAAACCACGGATTTAGGCACGATCCTTGCTCCCCTCTTCATATAACCGTGCGCGCGTGCTTACTAGGGTTCCGCCCGGTAGTTTGCTTCACTCCTACTAGGGTTCACCAGAGCATTGCCGCCAGGCTATCTCCCATCGTACCATTCCCCCTCTTCCCTGTCTTCCCTATTCCCTATTCCTCCCAATCACTCTCTCCCCTCCTCCAATCTCATCCATTCCCTCTCACTCGTATTCCTATCTCCTCCTCCTCCTCCTCCCCCTCTACCTATCTCCTCCTATTCGGCTCCCCACTCTTTGAATCTCCTGTTTACCCTCACCCTCCTCCTCCTAACTACTCTGGTCCCTCCCCCCCTTCTTCCTATCACCCCCTCACACCCCCTCCCCTCTTTCTATCTCCGCTTATCCCTCGCTCCCATCTCTCCCTCATGTCCCCCCTTCCTTCCCATCATTTCCCCCCTCCAACTCCATCACTCCCTTCCCTCCTTCCCCTCTCCCTTTTCTCCCCCCCAGGTCCCCACAATTTGCTTTCCATTTCCCGCCTTACCTGCCCTTATTTCCACCTCCTGCTTCCGCTCCTTCCCCCCCCCCTGCTTCCCCTCGTTCCCCCCCCTGCTTACCCTCTTTCCCGCCCCTTCTTCCCTGTTGTTCCCTCCCTGTTTCCCCTCTTTCCCCCCCTGATTCCCCTCATTTCCCTCCCTGGTTCCACTGTTCAACCCCCCTGCTTCCCCTCTTTCTCCCCCCCCTGCTTCCCCTCCTTTTTCCCCTTGCTTGCCTTCACAGTTTCCTTGCTGCGTGTCCTCTGTTTTTCCTTTGCCTACCCACCCGTTCCCCCGTGCTTGCCCTCTCAGTGTCCTTGTTGTTTGTCCCCCCCTGTCCTCCTCTCTCCGCCCTGCCATCATCTCTCCCCCCTGTCCTATCTCCCTCTGTCCTCCTCTCCCCCCCCTCTCCTCCTCTCTCCCCCTGTCCTCCTCTCTCCCCCCTGTCCTCCTCTCTCCCCCCTGCCCTCTTCTCTCCCCCTTGCCCTCCTCTCTCCGCCCTATTGTCCTTGCTCCCTCCAGTCCCACTTGTCCTCCACTCTCCCCGTCTCCTCCTCTCTCCACCCTGTCCTTCGATCTCCCCCCTTTTCCTCTCCCCCCTGACCCCCTCTTCTCCCCCTATCCTGTCCTCCTCTCTCCAACATGTCTTCCTCTCTCCCTCCTGGCCCTCCTCTCCCTCACCCCCCCCCCTCCCCCCTTGTCCTCCTCTCCCCCATTTCTTCCTCTCTACCCCCTTGCCTTCCTCTCTCCACCCTGCCCTCCTCTCTACATCCTGCCCTCATCTCTCCCCCTTGTCCTCCACTCTCCCCCCTTGTCCTCCTCTCTCCACCCTGTACTCCTCTTTCCCCCCTGCCCTCCTCTCTCCCCTCTGTCTTCCTCTCTTCCTCCTTGTCCTCCTCTCCCCTTCCTTGTCCTCCTCTTCCCCCTTCTGCAAGGGTGCGCGGACGTCGCCCAAGAGGCATTGGCGAAGTCGACCTGCGGACTGGTATCCCGAGGTCGACGTGGCACATCTGGCGCAACCGTCGGCACGTGGCCGACTTGGCACCTGTGCAATGTGCGAGATGGTGCACAACGTGCGCAAACGTCGCATGGCACCTGCGAAGTAGGTGCGCGCACATGCGCTATTGTCACCTGCTGTTGCAACGCTGGCAAGCCGCCTCCTTGTTGCGTTGGCACGCCATCGACTTGGCAAGTCGCCCCCGTGCTGCGCTAGAGGTCGACCTGCCTGGTTGCTAGGTTGCTAGGACCCAGATGTAGTCATTGTTGTCACTGCCTTTTGCATCATTCTGTGAACCTTTTGCTATTGAAACTCCTAGTTTTATCGGACAAATTATGCCGATGCCTATTAGCGTTGCGACTAGCAACGGTATTCGGCTTGCGAATAAATTATGTAGCTTTTTTCCTGAGAGCTTGTAATTCCGTGACGGATTTATGTGAGCATAGCATTGGGTTGGCAAGTGTAGTTGACAAGGTTATCACCAGGTCTATCCCATAATTGAGGTAGAACGGGGACTGATTGGTCGTTGCCGAGGGTGACTTATTATACGCAAACCCGAACATGGAAAGACAATCATCCCATTTGGTCAGGTTGGGGCAGTTGGTGCGAATCTTCTCCTCCATAGTCTCAATGGTCCGTTTTGCCTGTCCCTCGGTTTGTGGGTGGTATGACGACAGAAATTGCAGGCAGATATGACACATGGAAACGGATGATGGTCCAGGTGAAGAGCTTCGCTGTATCTTCGGCTGTGATCCCCGTACGGCATGGTGAGAACTGTGCCATTTTTGTTAGTCGGTCAACGACGACCAACACCGAGTCGTTTCGGCTGACGCCAACTATTAGTCTTTGTCAAGGAGAGAAACTAGTCACTCGCCTCCCTGACTCTCTTCGCGCTGTTAGGGACCGCTTTCTCGCACTTGACCCCACAGACCCCCTGTCGACCTGCTCGAGCAGCACCTCCTGCAGCTGAGACTAGCGTAGTCGCTGTATGTGCTGCTCGTGGCACTCCTCGCACACCCTTCTTCGAGGGGTGTTCACCCTCCCCCCTTGCCCCCTCCTACGCTTCTGCTGCTGCTGTTGACATCCTTGGTGCTGAGGATGCCGGGACTGCTTCTGCTCTTAGTGGGAAGCGCCGCAGCATCAAGGGCAAGGGTGGCAAGACTGGTGGCGGTGGCAGCAGGGGTGGTGGTGGTGGCGGCAATGGAGGCGGTGTAGGTGGCGGCGGTGGTGGCAGCGGTCGGAGTGGTGGCGGGAGTGGGGGCTTCGGTGGCGGCGGTGGCGGCAGCGGTGGGGGTGGCGGTAGTGGCGGCAGTGGGATTGGTGGCAGTCGGGGTGGAGTTGATCAGAGGGGAGGTTCTGGCGGTGGCCAGAGGCAGCAATAGCAGCGTCGGAGTGAGACCCCTTCGCCCCAGCAGCTTCGTGAGTGGTTTGCTCAGCGTGAGGCGTCTGGGGGTAGTCTTCGCTGCCCGTATGTCATTCGCACGGATGACCGTGCTGGTCAGACATGCGGGAATTTTCGCTCTCAGCACCGCTGCTTCTCCCGCCTAGACGACGCTTGGCACGCAGAGTTTGGTGAGGAGGCTGAGCGCCCTCGCTGGGCAGAGCTGCTTAGGTCTGGAGTTGATATCTTTGCTCTTGACTATGATCCTATCCTTGCTGCCATGTATGCCTTGTCTGTTAGTGCTGAGGTTGACTGCTACCTGTGTGTGCCACCCAACCCAGGTATAGAAGCTGCTGCTCTAGGTGCTAGTGAGTCTGTTCTCCTTGGTAGTGCGCCTGCTGAGGCCTTGCACACCTTTACGTTTGACTCAGGTGCTTCCCACTGTTTCTTTCACGACAATACCACCCTCACTCTTCTCACTGCACCTGTTCCCGTCAGACTGGCTGACCCCTTAGGGGGCCCAGTACTTGCCGGTTCCTCCACTGTTCTCCCGTGTCCGGCGGTTCTGGCTGGCTCACTCTCAGGTCTTCACCTCCCCTCATTCTCTACGAACTTGATGAGTACCGCTGCCCTCCAGGATGTGATGGTCACTACCACCACTCCTGGGGGTCAGCGTGTGTCGATCTGCACGTGTACACGGACGGGCCATCACCTGGCCACGTTCACCCATCGCCCAGGGTCGAGTCTATACACACTGACTACCGAGCCTCCTCAGGTAGCTGCGACTGCCAAGGTGTCTGCGTTAGGTCCGGTAGCACCCCCCTGCTTGTGTCACCTCCTGTCGCACCAGACTCTCATGTGGCACCACCGCCTGGGTCACCCCTCCCTGCCACGCCTTTGTGGCATGCACTCCCGCCTCCTTGTTTCTGGTCTTCCAAGGTCTTTGCCTCCCCTCCCGCCCTCGCCTGCCCCACACTGCCTTCCTTGCGTCGAGGGGTGGCAGCGCGCCGCTCCTCAGTCCTCCTCGTTTCCCCCGACGACTGCTCCCCTGCAGACTCTCCGCATGGACGTGTGGGGCCCAGCCCCCGTCAGTCAACAGGACCGCGAGCGCTACTTCCTGCTGGTTGTGGACGACTACACGCGTTACACCACGGTCTTCCCCTTGCGCACCAAGGGTGAGGTCCCTGATGTCTTGATCCCTTGGATCCACGCAGTCCGTCTCTAGCTCCGCGAGCGGTTCCGCGAGGACCTTCCTGTCCTACGTCTGCACTCTGACAGAGGTGGTGAGTTCTCCTCCGACCTCTTGCGGGACGTTCACGCTTCTAGCCTCCCCGCACCAAAATGGGATTGCTGAGCGCCGCATTGGCTTAGTTATGGGGGTGGCTCGTACCTCCATTATCCATGCGGCTGCTCCCCATTTTCTGTGGCCGTTTGCGGTCTGGTACGTTGCGCATCAGCTCAACCTCTGGCCCCGTGTCTCCTTGCCGGAGACCTCGCCTACATTGCGTTGGATGGGGAAGGTTGGCGATGCGTCAATGTTCCAGGTCTGGGGCTCTCGTGCCTTTGTTCGCGATACTTCCGCGGACAAGCTCTCCTCCCGCGCTATTCCCTGCGTCTTCCTTGGCTTTCCCCCTAACATGCCTGGCTGGCGGTTTTACCACCCCACCTCGCGCCGTGTCCTCCCCTCTCAGGACGTCACGTTTGACGAGTCGGTTCCCATTTACCGTCTCTTCCCCTACCGCACTGCACCTCTCCCCCCCCCGCCGCTCTTCCTTGCTCCAGGTCCCCCTCCAGTAGACCCCCTCCCCCCTCAGGGTCCTGCTCCCTCAGGTGTGTCTCAGGTAGACCCACTCCCCGGGACTGTGCCTGTCGAGGTCGCTGTAGACTGAGGTGCTGCTAGAGGTACTGCGTCTAGGGGTGCTGCATCTGGGGGTGCTGCGTCTAAGGGAGCTGCGTTTGGGGGTGCTGAGCCTGCGAGTGCGGAGCCTAGGGGTGCTGAGCCTGAGGGTGTGGAGTCTGGGGGTGTGGAGCCTGAAGGTACTGAGCCTGAGGGTGTGGAGCCTGGGGGTGCTGAGTCGGAGGGTGCGGAGTCTGGGGGTGCTGAGCCTAGGGGTACTTCGTCTGCTGGAGGTCCTGCGGGTGCCTCGCCACGACTGTCTCCGTGGCGGGAGCCTCTCTCGCCACAGCAGCTGCGCGAGTGGTTTACTCAGCGCACACGCCTTCAAAGTGGAGCTGCAGGAGCTGGAGGCTCTGCTACTGGAGGCACTGGAGCTGGAGTTGCTGGAGCTGCTAGTCTTGGAGGTGCTGGAGTTACTGCTGGAGCTAGAGGTACCAGAGGTGCTGGAGCTGCCGAGGCTGGTGGTGTTGGAGGCGCTGGAGCTGGAGGAGCTGGAACTGGAGACCCTGGCACTGGAGGCGCTGGAGCTGGAGGCAGTGGCGCTGGAGGCGCTGGAGCTGGAGAGACTGGAGCTGGAGACTCTGGAGCTGGAGGCACTGGTGCTGGAGCTGGAGGAGCTGAAGCTGGAGACCCTGGAGCTGGAGGAGTTGGAGCTGGAGGCCCTGGCACTGGAGGCGCTGGAGTTGGAGGCGCTGGAGCTGTCGACCCTGGAGCTGGAAACCCTGGAGCTGGAGGTGCTGGCGCTGGGGGTGCTGCGTCTGGCGGTACTGGTGTTGGAGGCACTGTGCAGCGGCGACCGTTTTTCGTTCCGCCGCCACCGTCGTCTCTGCTGCCACCTGACTCGGTCCTTCGCCAGGTTCTCAGTCTCCTGTCTTCTACTGGCCTTTCTCCTAGCTTACTGAGTCCACCATCTCACCCGTGGCAGCCACAGTTACAGCCAGACTCCCCACTGCCTGCTCCTTCTCCTTACGCTGAGCAGACAGACTCTTTTACAGAGCGTCGTGACCCTGAGTCTCGTCCTGCCTCTCGTATTTGCACTGTTCGCACTCGTCGCCGTGTTCCTCGTCCGCGTCCTCCTCCTGTCTCCGGCACTCACCGTATGGCACTTCGTCCTTCCTCTGTTCCACTGCGAGTTCCCCTACCGCCTCCTCATGAGTCCTCTCTTCCTGTTGTTCCTGTCCCTGAGTCTTGCTTAGCTTGTGCTACCAGTCCTACTGTCCCTCGTCTTCTCGACACTGTTGTCACTGACCCTTCTTTTGAGTGCACTGCTGCATCTGCCCTTGTTGCTGAGCTTGTTGAATTTGCTGCCGCCTATCGTCTCGACTACGCCACTAGTCTTGTTGCTGAGTCTGAGCCTGACTGTCCTCCGTCCGTCGAGGGTGAGTGTGCTCTTGGCACGGACGTCCTTGAGGACAGGCAGAAGGACTTTGAGTGTCTTGCAGCGAGTATACCTCATCTCGTGGCCATGCTGCTTGCACCTGAGGGAGACCCGGATGCACCAGACATCCCGACTCTGCGCTCTTACAAAGAGGCGATTACGGGTCCCTACTCCTCTCAGTGGCAGACAGCTATGGATGTAGAGATGACATCCTAGAAGTCCACAGGCACCTACGTTGACACAGTTCCCCCTTCAAGGGCGAACATAGTCGATGGCATGTGGATTTTCAGGGTGAATCGGCCGCCGGGTTCTCCGCCTGTCTTCAAGGCTCGTTACGTTGCACGAGGCTTCAGTCAGCGACAGGTAGTTGACTTCTTCCATACCTTCTCCCCTACCCCGAAGATGTCACTCTTTGGGTGTTGCTGCACGTGGCAGCTCAGCGTGACTACGAGCTGCACTCTCTTGACTTCAGCACACCTTTCTTGCAGGGAAGCCTGCACGAGGAGATCTGGTTGCGCCGCCCACCTGGCTTCACTGGGTCGTTTCCTGCAGGTACCCAGTGGAGCCTCCGGCTGCCAGTCTACGGTCTTTGTTAGGCGCCTTGCGAGTGGCACGACACACTGAGGACAACACTTGCAGCTCTTTGGTTTGCTCCTTCGACTGCTGACCTGTCGCTGTTTCTACGCACCGACATTTCGCTGCCGCCGTTCTACGTCCTCGTATACGTTGACGATTTGGTCTTTGCCGTTGCTGACACTGAGGCACTGGCCCTTGTGAAGTCGGAGTTGTAGAAGAGATACACCTGCACTGACCTGGGTGAACTGCGTAGCTATCTTGGCTTGCAGATCACCCGGGACAGAGCACGGCGCACCATCACCCTGACTCAGTCACACATGGTGCACCAGGCCCTTCAGCGCTTTGGCTTACGGTACTCCTCGCCACAGTCCACTCCTCTGCCTACCGGTCACTCGCTCTCAACTCCACCTTCCGACCAGTCCGTAGAGCCAAGTGGCCCGTATCCAGAGCTTGTGGGCTGCCTCATGTACCTGATGACGTGCACTCGACCTGACCTTGCCTACCCTCTTAGCATCCTTGCACCCTACGTTGCGCCCGGGAGACACCGACCAGAGCACTGGGAGGCCGCTAAGAGGGTGTTGCGCTACTTGTGCAGTACTTTGGGCATGGGGCTCGTGCTTGGAGGACGGGGTCCAGTTGTCCTCACTGGACACGCAGACGCTTCTTGGGTTGACGACTTGGCTACGCAGCGGTCGTCACAGGTTTACATTTTCAACATTGGCTCCGGCTCTGTTTCTTGGCGGTCTACCCGCTCGTCTTCGGTTCTGAGTTCCAGTTGTGAGGCTGAGATCTACGCAGGGGCCATGGCTGCACAGGAGTTACGCTGGCTCACCTACCTGCTGACCGACTTGGGAGAGCGGCCTCGTTCTTCTCCAGTTCTGTACGTAGACAACAAGGTTATGATTGCCTTGTGTCAGGAACACAAACTGGAGCGCAAAACGAAGCACATCGTTCTGCGTTACTTCCTTGCTCGAGAGTTGCAGCAGCGTTGTCAGCTTCGTCTTGCTTACGTGGCCACTAGGGCCAACACTGCTGATATATTACCAAGGCACTTCAGTCTGGTGATCATCAGCGTTTCTGTACTGTTTTAGGCTTTGTGCCTACTTTTCTTCACTTGCTCATTGCGTGACTTGGCTTGTACTGTGAGCTATATATATACCTGCATACTTACACTTGCTAGGGTATGATCACTGTATTATTTGTTCTCTTTTATGTAACTCTGCATGTGAACTGGCCTTGTGGCCATTTGCTTGTGCTCGGAATGTGTGGTGACTTCGTGATCCACTGTGAGCTTGCTTTGCCTTTCTTGACTAGTCTTGTGACCACTTGTTCCCCCCCACTTTGTCTATGGGGGTGTGTCAAAATGTTATAATGCTCACATTTTGTAGGCTGAAGTGGGGTAGCCCATAAGGGGTACAACCCAATTAGGGTTAGTACTTGTACCCAACTCATTCATAGTTCATTCGTTCTTGTTCAGTATTCTCACACCACCCTGAGCTTGCTTTGGTTTTTCTTGACTGGTCTTGTGACCCCTTGTTCTCCCCCACTTTGCCTATGGGGGTGTGTCAAACTGTTATAATATTTATTTTGTGTAAGTGGAGTAGCCCATAAGGGGTACAACCTAATTAGGGTTAGTACTTGTACCAACTTTCTTCTCAATGCAATCATTCACTCGTCTAGTTTCTGATAGGCAAGTGATAAACCTTTGCATCCACCCCCCCTCAAAGTGCACCCTTGATTTAAACGCATGGTTGCAATGCATAACGGTACTTATCTGTTCAAAGACACTTGGTATGGCAAAACTCACAGCAAAAAAGAGTCATTGGTTTACATCATGCATGACCGTAAAAGACCAATCGCTATAGACCGTACATATTGGTTGACTTACCACGGATACGAGAAGTGCGATGCAATTTGATTGGCCAACAGTTTTTTGTCGAAGAGGAGAGAAGGAAACACCAAGAATATTTTGAGTGCAATTTGGGACTCGAGAATCAAACTGAGTTGTTCCATGAGATTTGGTGAGCGAAAACCCTGAGGGTGTAGTGATAAGCTGGGCGAAACTGAATAGGCCAACTTACAAGAAGTCAACGTTCCTCTCCCGCCACCCAAAGGGCAACCCTAGTAAGGTTGAACAATTCGGGCATTGAGCTTTAAACCACATTTGGTCAATCCACATTCCGATTTACATAAAGACGTTCGCTGCACAGTGATATTCGAAACTGTAGCTAAAAGGCTTCGGCTTGTACTGAAATGTATATGCAGCAAATCAAGAACCGACGCGTGCTTATGCGTCCTACAGAGGCAAGTCACAGTGCGAATTTCAAGCAATAAGAGGAACACGACGAACGAACCCATTGAAATCGGACGAACACTGTCGGTCAGGGCAGGGCAAGGCATTTGCTTGCCATGAATCGCAGCCTGGTGGTGGGTAGTGCTGCCCGAAAGTGGCTCCACCACATCATTAGCCCTAGCTGCCCGGAGCGCGAGAAGGAACAACCCCTGGGCCGGAAACTGGGCGAGGCGCATTAAGTGTGGAGCTGCCTGGATCCGAACAGTAATTGCACTAAATCCCATGCAACCTTACTGTACCGCACATATCCGCCTAAATACAGTTCGGGAATGAACTGGTTTCTGGATCATTCCTCCTGCACGTGCGCAGAATCTTCATGGGGATGCCCCAAATGCAAATTAATGGGTATGTAGCTTTGGCGGGGGTACTACTAGCGACCCTGCGCTTTCCAGGTAACTACAGTGCTAGTTGCGGGCATTTTCCGCTCCCTCGTCCCTCCGACAGGTAAGTTATTGCAACAGCACAGAACTCGGCTCCAAATACACCCACGTGTCACAAATTCGCAAGCCACTGGAAAAACCTGACCGAAACAAAACTAAAACCCAATCGGAAAGGGATGCGTCTCGGGGAGGCATCAACCCTAAAAAAATATGGGTTCCCGTATTTAGGGTTGATCCCTCCCGAAAATGAGTCCAGGTTCCCTATGGGTTTTTATTTTTTTCTGCCCTGCATTCTCTAATTCTCTCGAATTTGTGACACGTGGGTGAATTTGGGACCGAGTTCTCGGCTGTTGCCATAACTTACCTGTCTGAGGGTCAGAGGGGCGGAAAGTGCCTGCAACTAGCACTGTAGTTCCCTAGAATGCGCAGGGTCGCTAGTAGTACCCCCGCAAAAGCTACTTACCCCAAATTAATTCTGGCAGGAAACTTATCACTGAAGCTCGTGTACAACGGTTACGAAAGTTGTATTACGTTCAAAGACGGTTCGTTCAGACTTTGGAATGGTGTGACACGTCAAGAGAAATGATGCTGAGAAGAGGACCCTGCTCGCAGATGCCACTTCACTACATAGTTTCCCAGTGTGCGACTGCAACTGTTAGTACGTCGGTTTTGGAGTGCCCGTACTCTGGAAACTGATGCGGAGTTGCTCTCGCAAGTACTCCACGACAATGTGCCCCAGGCGATAGATTCTCCTCAAAAGCGCCGTCTCAAATCAGTAGTAACGGACGAAAATGGCTCGTCGTTCCGGATCTCGTTGTCACGCGCCGCTGCGAGCAACATCGTCGTGCGAGTTAGTACCGCTCCTAGCAACGCTCGCGCTGTTCGCTGCCTTGCTTCCGAGTCGCGGCGTTCTCGCTGTGACTGATCCCGCCCATGGTAGGCGGTTCGTTCCTCCGACGGTAGGCGATTCCCTGGACTCCCGGGTTTCGGGTTCGGAATGCTTAATGCTAATCAGTGGCTGATCCCGCACACGGTATGCGATTCGTTCCGACGTATTTCTTGAGTCGTCAAGACGTTTACTTCCGAGGGAATGCTAGTACTAAAACTACGCCTGCGAATGCCTCGGCGCATCTGCCGGGAGCTGTAATAGGCAAGGCGAATCCTGTTTCAATCCCGGATGAACGCAAGCTCCTTTGAACTGAGAGCGCCTCAAAAGTAAGCCGCTCTGCTGCGCCTCTCATCTAGCTGTCCCCACGTCCGCCACTCCCCATCAGCATCCCTCTCCCCCCTCCCTTTCCCCCCCTTGCCCTCCCCCACCCCTCTCCCTTCTTTCCCACCCACCTCTTCTCAAAACCTATTGGCCGCACGGGATGCATTCGCGACGATAGGAATGTACCTAGTGTCGCCAAGCGACAACAACCCGCGTTTTCCCACCCTCTAGGCGATACCCTCCGTCCCCCCTCTCCACCCCAGCAGCCCTGCGGCATACATGGCTGATGCCCCATCCTGCCCATGCTTTCTTTGAGGCGAATTTTGAAACGCCTCAGAAACAGCCGCGTCACATGCACGGTTGATGCCTCATGCCCATGCTGTCCCTAGGCACCAAGCACACAGAATAACCTCTCTGCGTATCTCGCTCGCTCACCCGCCTTCCAGTGCACATTCAGAGGACCTTCGCAGCTCTTACTAGGTCACCTTGGTCGCCCCAACCCAAGCCATGCACACGGCTGGTACCTCATAATAGTACCTTGTTTGCATTCCCCTCCCTCTCTCATCCACCTTCCAGTGGCCATTCTCAGGACCTTCGCTGCTCTAGGCAACCCCAGCAGCCCCCCTTTCAACGCTTGGACGGGGGATGATCCGTGTGGGGGAGATGTGGGGAGCGCATGGTCTGGCATCAAGTGCGACACAGGCAGCCCGTACAGTACAGTGGCTGAGATGTGAGTGCAGGATGGGGGACAAGGATGGTGCTCTCTGCTCCCTGCCTTAACGGGCCGTGCGGGGTGGATGCAGGGAGTGCGTGCGTGGGCTGGCATCAGGTGTAATACCGTGGCTGAGATGCTGCGAGGGGGGGTGGGGTCCTTACTTGTGCTTGGTTGGGGGACAACCAGTGTAGTGGTGTGGTGCAGTGGTGTGCGGTGCAGCAAGAGCATGGGCTGGCATCAAGTGCGACACTGGCAGCCCGTATAACACCGTGGCTGAGATGTGAGTGTGCGTAAGGGGCCAGTGAGGTGGTGCTCTGTGATTGGACAGAAGAATACCAGGGCAGATGCGGCGAGCGCGTGTGCTGGCATCAAGTGCGACACTGGCAATCTGTGTAACACCATGGCTGAAATATGAGTGCAGAGAGGGGCAGTGGGGTGGTGCTCTTTGCTTGGGTGGGGAAAGAGTCATGGGAGCAGATGCAGGGAGTGCATGGGCGACAGAAGCAACCCGTAGAATACAGTGGTTGAGATGTGAGTGTGGAGTGGAGTGAGGGAAATGGGATGGTCTGTGCTTAAACTGGGGAAGACTTGTGTGTTGGTGCAGACGCAAGCAGTCACGAGCCACACCCAGTGAGATGTGCCATGCGCCATACCATGTGTCATGTGCCATGCCATGTGTCATGTGCCATGCCATGTGCCATGTGCCATGTGCCATGTCATGTGCCATGAGCCAAGTGCCATGCCATGTGCCATGCCATGTGGAATGTGCCATGTGCCATGTGCTATGCCATGTGCCATTCCATGTGGCATGTGCCATGTGCCATGTGCCACGCCATGTGTCTTTGTGCCATGCCATGTGTCATGTGCCATGCACCATGTGCCATGCCATTTGCCATGTGCCATGGCCCATGCCATGTGCCATGTGATGTGCCGTGCCATGTGCCATGTGATGTGCCATGTGGCATGTGCCATGCCATGTGCAATGTGTCATGTGCCATGAGCTATGTGCTGTGCATGCCATCAGTCAGCCAGTTCTTTCTGTCCGCCCGTCCATCTATCTGTCCATCCATCCTTTCGTCTATTCGTCTGTCTGTCCGTTTGTCTGTCTGACAGCTTGCCTGTCTTCTCAAATCAGTGAAACAACAGTCTCCTTTCCCACTCTCACCCTCTTAGTGACATTCAGGATGCCAGCCTAGCAGGGGACTTGCCGCCTTCCATTTTCAACATCACAAAAATCCTGCGTCCAGAAAGCCGATGAAAATAGTTTTTTTGGAGCTTTGTCAAATGATTTATAAACGTAGGATTTCGAACGCTTTTTTGAGAAAGTATAGGCAGATTTCCGAATGCTTTGTCGAATGCTTTGTAGATGCTTTTCAGATGTCTTTACAAGTTTTGAATGACTTCAGACAGTCGCAACCTTGTAGACTTCAGAACACCATAAAAACTATTTAATGTGTTGGCAATGAGCTATAAAAATCATTTTGGCATGCACCAAATGTTAGATTATCACGGTTGCCAAACATTCATTGTGAACATTGGAATAGTGTTTTATTAATTTATAGAATTACAATACATCAACAGCATAATAAAGATTGCCAATCTTTAACAAAGATTGGCTCCCCTTCACATGATCTAAGCATGATTTCGCCCCAAAACGCATCGTTACAGCTGCGGAAACAGCAATGCCTGCTGCCCAATTAACGACTCATGCATCTGGTCTGAAATAAACACAATCAAAAGCCGTGAGTAAAAACGACCAGCCACGCTCAATCAAATGCTTACCGTGAGAAGAAAAAACTGGAAAATAGACATTTAAATTAAAGATCTTGTAGTGCACGCCTCCTGGAGACATGACGAACAGGATGCAAAGGTTAAAGTAGATATCAAGTCAGAGTAAAGCATGAATAGGATGTGACGCCTTCAAAAAGAACACACAGACATAAGTGATAAGCAAGGGCAGATTGACGCGGCGACCTGCACACGCTCATGAAGAAAATTGTCAAATGAGGTGAGAAATATCCTCAATACACTAAGTAACTGGCCTTCTTAAGCAAAAAGACACGGTCACTGCGGTTCGCTGGTTGTTGCGCTGCAAATCAGACAGGGCTACGGCGGCGGTAGAAACTAGGAGCTATGGCGGCGGTAGAAACTACGCGCTATGGCGGCGGTACAAACTAGGAGCTATGGTGGCGGTAGAAGCTAGGAGAAGAAGTCTGCTAACAAAATTAACCAAGTCACAGCTGCTTAGGAATAATAACACTACGGGAAGCCAGTTCCACTCTTGTGCTGGCGTGATGGGTGGAGTGCTGAGTGGTTGTGGGAGCTAGGGGACTCTTGGGCGGATAAGGTGGTTGAGCTGGAAATTGTCGAGGTGGATTAAATGAGCGGCTCGGATTGGTTGGGCGATGTGGTATTCTGAGCTGGATTGGATCAGGCAGCCCGGATTGGTTGGATCGATTTCTGGGCTGGTTGGGGTTGGTTTGGAAAGTGTGATTGGCTTGGCAAATGCGAATTGAAACCGATGAGATGTATTCTTTCAAAATTACAAAGCAGCTGTTGTGGTCCAGTCAACTACGATATTCAGCACTCGTATGAAACACCTGGGTTCAAATCCCGGTGGCGGCCCGTTTCTGAAATTAGGCTTTTGTGTCCTTTCGTCGAGCAATTTTTTTTACCATTTCTGAAATCCTGTGCTGCAAAGACTCTGATGTGAAGCTGCTCAATAGGTTCATCTGGTGATACAGATAAGCAACTATGTCGATGAACCATTACCTATCTTAATTGTGAAACACACATATATGCAACCTTATTATTGTTTCAACAATAAACATTTGACAAACCAACCATTGAAACATTTATAAACCATTACTAAAACATCAGCAAATCATTTGGTTTGACAAAAATGCTATACAAATGGTATATAGATGATTCCCGGATGATTGTCAAACGTTCTTTGAACACTTGCTGAAAAAAAAAATGGTCAAATGTTTTCCAGACGCACACATTTTTGTGATGAACCTCACATCGCTTCGTTTGCTGTGAGTTGCAATGCCATCTATTTTTCTTCTCCTCCTCCTTCTCTCCTGCTTGATTCTCCGGCTTGATAGCACGTAAGAAGGCCTGAGAAAACGTCCGAGTCAGCTTGATAGGACCCGGCTTGGCTTGAACCCACGCAAAGGCCGGCTACCTACCAAGAGGCCAGTGCCCTACTGTCCGTCCAGCTTCCTCTTCTAAGCTAAGTGGTGAGGCCTCCCCTCACAGCAATCTGCTTCTCCCCTCCCTGTCCTGCCCCTGTCTGTTTCCCTGAACAATTCGGCGCTCAACCTGAAACTGACAGACAGCTTTCATCACGCACCAATTTGTGACTCTTTCCCCCCAACCATCCCTTGTCCCTCCCCCTTTCTATCCACATATCATCAGCAATTTGGCTATCAACCCAAATTTGACAGGCAGCTTTCCAGATGCTCTCGGGAACCTTCTGCAGCTCACCACGCTGTGAGCCCTCTCTGCTGTGCTGTGCTGTGAGCACTCTCTGCTGTGCTGTGAGCCCTCTGTGCTGTGCTGTGAGCCCTCTCTGCTGTGCTGTGAGCACTCTCTGCTGTGCTGTGAGCCCTCTCTGCTGTGCTGTGAGCCCTCTGTGCTGTGCTGTGAGCACTCTCTGCTGTGCTGTGAGCCCTCTCTGCTGTGCTGTGAGCCCTCTCTGCTGTGCTGTGAGCCCTCTCTGCTGTGCTGTGAGCCCTCTCTGCTGTGCTGTGAGCCCTCTCTGCTGTGCTGTGAGCCCTCTCTGCTGTGCTGTGAGCCCTCTCTGCTGTGCTGTGAGCCCTCTCTGCTGTGCTGTGAGCACTCTCTGCTGTGCTGTGAGCCCTCTCTGCTGTGCTGTGAGCCCTCTCTGCTGTGCTGTGAGCCCTCTCTGCTGTGCTGTGAGCCCTCTCTGCTGTGCTGTGAGCCCTCTCTGCTGTGCTGTGAGCCCTCTCTGCTGTGCTGTGAGCCCTCTCTGCTGTGCTGTGAACACTCTCTGCTGTGCTGTGAGCCCTCTCTGCTGTGCTGTGAGCCCTCTCTGCTGTGCTGTGAGCCCTCTCTGCTGTGCTGTGAGCCCTCTCTGCTGTGCTGTGAGCCCTCTCTGCTGTGCTGTGAGCCCTCTCTGCTGTGCTGTGAGCCCTCTCTGCTGTGCTGTGAGCCCTCTCTGCTGTGCTGTGAGCCCTCTCTGCTGTGCTGTGAGCACTCTCTGCTGTGCTGTGAGCCCTCTCTGCTGTGCTGTGAGCCCTCTCTGCTGTGCTGTGAGCCCTCTCTGCTGTGCTGTGAGCCCTCTCTGCTGTGCTGTGAGCCCTCTCTGCTGTGCTGTGAGCCCTCTCTGCTGTGCTGTGAGCCCTCTCTGCTGTGCTGTGAGCCCTCTCTGCTGTGCTGTGAGCCCTCTCTGCTGTGCTGTGAGCCCTCTCTGCTGTGCTGTGAGCCCTCTCTGCTGTGCTGTGAGCCCTCTCTGCTGTGCTATGAACCCTCTCTGCTGTGCTGTGAGCCCTCTCTGCTGTGCTGTGAGCCCTCTCTGCTGTGCTGTGAGCCCTCTCTGCTGTGCTGTGAGCCCTCTCTGCTGTGCTGTGAGCCCTCTCTGCTGTGCTGTGAGCCCTCTCTGCTGTGCTGTGAGCCCTCTCTGCTGTGCTGTGAGCCCTCTCTGCTGTGCTGTGAGCCCTCTCTGCTGTGCTGTGAGCCCTCTCTGCTGTGCTGTGAGCCCTCTGTGCTGTGCTGTGAGCACTCTCTGCTGTGCTGTGAGCCCTCTCTGCTGTGCTGTGAGCCCTCTCTGCTGTGCTGTGAGCCCTCTCTGCTGTGCTGTGAGCCCTCTCTGCTGTGCTGTGAGCCCTCTCTGCTGTGCTGTGAGCCCTCTCTGCTGTGCTGTGAGCCCTCTCTGCTGTGCTGTGAGCCCTCTCTGCTGTGCTGTGAAGCACTCTCTGCTGTGCTGTGAGCCCTCTCTGCTGTGCTGTGAGCCCTCTCTGCTGTGCTGTGAGCCCTCTCTGCTGTGCTGTGAGCCCTCTCTGCTGTGCTGTGAGCCCTCTCTGCTGTGCTGTGAGCCCTCTCTGCTGTGCTGTGAGCCCTCTCTGCTGTGCTGTGAGCCCTCTCTGCTGTGCTGTGAGCCCTCTCTGCTGTGCTGTGAGCCCTCTCTGCTGTGCTGTGAGCCCTCTCTGCTGTGCTGTGAGCCCTCTCTGCTGTGCTGTGAGCCCTCTCTGCTGTGCTGTGAGCCCTCTCTGCTGTGCTGTGAGCCCTCTCTGCTGTGCTGTGAGCCCTCTCTGCTGTGCTGTGAGCCCTCTCTGCTGTGCTGTGAGCCCTCTCTGCTGTGCTGTGAGCCCTCTCTGCTGTGCTGTGAGCCCTCTCTGCTGTGCTGTGAGCCCTCTCTGCTGTGCTGTGAGCCCTCTCTGCTGTGCTGTGAGCCCTCTCTGCTGTGCTGTGAGCCCTCTCTGCTGTGCTGTGAACACTCTCTGCTGTGCTGTGAGCCCTCTCTGCTGTGCTGTGAGCCCTCTCTGCTGTGCTGTGAGCCCTCTCTGCTGTGCTGTGAGCCCTCTCTGCTGTGCTGTGAGCCCTCTCTGCTGTGCTGTGAGCCCTCTCTGCTGTGCTGTGAGCCCTCTCTGCTGTGCTGTGAGCCCTCTCTGCTGTGCTGTGTTGTTTGTAAGAACTCTGCTGCGTTGCAAGCATACTGTGTCTGGGATATAAGCATACAAACTGTTTGTTGCAAGCACACGTTGTCTGAAATTCCTCTCCCCCTCCCCGTCTCTCTCACCTCTACTGCAGCCCCTCTCCCCACCTCCTCTTCCCTCCGCTGCTTTCCCCTCCCCACAAACTACACAGAGGGACATGCACGGGTGCAGCCTGTCCGGCTCCATCCCATCCTCCATCGGGCAACTCACCAGATACTTCCTCGCCAACTAGAATATAGAATTTCCTACTCCCCCCCCCCCTCTCTCCTCCCTCCATTTCCCTTCCCACCCCCAATTTCCCGCTCTCCCCCCTCCTCCCCCCTCCTCCCCCCCCCTCCCCACTGTTCAAAACATACAATCCAAGCAGGGATATGCATGGGAGCAGCCTATTCGGCTCCATCCCATCCACCATCGGCCGGCTCACCAGCCTCGAATGCTTCCTGGTCAACCAGAACCGCCTCTTCCTTCCCCCCCACCTCTCGCCCCCCTCAATTACACACAGGGACGTGCACGGGTGCGGCCTATTCGGCTCCATCCCATCCACCATCGGCCAGCTCACCAACCTCAGCTACTTCCTGGTCAACCAGAACTGCCTCTTCCTCCCCCCCACTCCTCGTCACGTCCGCTTAACTCCACTCCCTTTAAATCCACCTCTCATTTCTCCCCTTCTCCTCCCTCCATTCCCCTTCCCACCCCCCATTCCCCGCTCCCCCCCTCCTCTGCACTCCTCAAAACAAACAAACCAAGCAGCGACATGCATGGGTGCGGCCTATCCGGCTCCATCCCGACCACCATAGGGCGCCTCACCAACCTGAGCTACTTCCTGGTCAACCAGAACCGCCTCTCGGGCTCCCTGCCCGCACAGATAGGCACTCTCCCGCGCCTCTACATGCTTGACGTCATGGAGAATCAGCTGGAAGGGGCTCTGCCAAAGTTCGAGGGTGCAAATGAGCTCAACCACCTGTGAGTCCCAATTTACCTGCCCCTGCTGCCCGCATCTCACTGCTGTCCCGCTCCTCTACATGCTTGATGTCATGGAGAACCGGATGGAAGGGGCCCTGCCCACGTTCCAGGGTGCAAACCACCTCGCACACTTGTGAGTGTTACCCATCCCCACTTGCTCCCACCTCTCCTCTCCCATCCCCATGTTTTCTCTCCCCTAGTCCCCTCTCCCCCTTTTTTCCGCCCTCGTCTCCCTCCCCTCCCCTTCCCCTTCATCCCCTGCCCCCTCCCCTGTACCCCACTCCCCTACTATATGAGTCGTAATTTGTTCTCATTCCCTCGCACCTTCCCCTCCACTTCACAGACTTTTGAGTCGAATCAAAAGTTCCCTCCCCTCCCCTTCCCCTTCTCCCCTTGCCCCTCCCCTGGAACCCACTTCTCCACTACATGAGTCGCAATCTGTTCTCCCATCTCACCTTCCCCTCCACTTAATCTTTCCCACTCCTTCCCTTTCCCTCCACTTAATGCGCCCTCTACCTCCCCTCCCTTTTCTCACTTCTTAATCTTCCCCTAAATTCTCTCTCCCCTCTCTCTCCCCTCTCCTTCCCTCTCTCTCCCCTCCCCCTTCCCTTCCCCTCCTTCCCCTCTAACCCTCTGTGGCCCAACTGCTCTACAGCCACATGAGCAACAACCTCTTCACGTCTGTTCCAGCAGAGATCAGCAGACTGCCCAAACTGCTGCACCTGTGAGTCCTGCGCAAGGCAAGCATGTATGAGTCGTGCTCAGTAATGTGTGAATTGTGCGAAGTATTGTGTCCTGTAATTCCCAACCTCAAATGACCTCACCCATGCCATTCGATTGGCTGTGTCATACATGTAGTGTAGCTATTTCATTTTCTTCACCTGTGTTGGATTCTCATCCACACTGCTGTCGTGTGTTGCATGGCAGGCTGATGGATAGCAACAGACTCACCCATGACTTTCCACTCGCTTTTAACAACACCAACCTCACTGTCATGTATGTGTGGGTGGGGGGGCATTTTCCACGACTTATGTGTCTTCACTCAGGCTAGGAGTTTTGTTGAAATAGCTGTTAAGGACCGACCGAGTATGCATTTAGCAAGCACCGTTAATTTTGCAAAGAGTGCTCGCTCGCTCACACCACCTCTATGTTGCTTGCCCGTCTCCTGCTGTGTGAGGTGACATTTGAGTCGAACGTGCTTGCACACCTCAAAAGTTATGCTTGTACCACCTCTTTATGTTGCTCATAAGCTGCTGCTGCTGCTGCTCGTAACCTGCTGCAAAGTATTGTTGTTCTTAGCTCGTCTTGTGCCGCTCGTCACTACGTGCCGCCATGTTAAAACCAGGTAATTGCCTCTCTCCCCCACTAATTTGGCCCGTTTTCTCCTATCCCACCATTTCCCACCCTCTCCCACCCTCTTCCACCCCCTCCCGCCCCGCCCCACCAACCAAGCAACTGCATTAGTCACACTAATCCATTGGTCTTCGCCCCCTGCCCTCCACCTTCTCCCCTCTTACCCTCCTTTCCTTTCTTCCTACCAGCTACTGCAGCCACCACTTCACCCTCTCGCCTCCTTCATCTCTCCCCTCTGCTCCCTTGCGGGCTCCCTTGCTTGCTCCCTTGCTTGCTCCCTCCATTTCCTCCCTCCGCTGTTCCCACCCACTCATTTCCCTCCCTTCTCCCTTCCCCACCTCTCTCCCTTCCTTCCCCACTCCCTTCCCTCCCCTCCTCACTTTCCCTCCCCTTCGCCCTCTCTTCCCTCCCAATCCATTCCCTTCCCCAACCCTTCCCCTTCTCTCCCTTCCCTCCACCCCACCCTGCCCCATCAACCAGCTACTGGAGCAACAACATACTACCCGGCCCCTTCCCTTCCACCTGGTTCTTCCCCCGACTCAAGGACTTGTGAGTCCCAAACCTTCATGTCAACCCCAAGCATTATTCTGGGACTCAAGGCCTTGGAAGTCGTTCTCCAACTCAGGAGCTTCCCTTTTTTTTTTTTTTTTTTTTTTTTTTTGTATAATAAATTAACACGTTAACGTATAGCAGAGTTGGGTTGGTGTTGCAACAGATAGTTCTTGCCTTGCTTTGATTTGATGTTTGCTTTGTAGATGTGGGTATTGTATGTGACTGTGCCCAAGTGTTAATGTGTGCATGTGTGCATGCATGGATGTTTCTATTTGCATTGCATGCGCATGCGTATGTGTGTGTCCATGTGCATGCGTCATGTGTCTATGTTCATGTATGTGTGCGCAATGCATGGTATGGATCTGATGCCTACATCCAAGTCCGCTTGTGCACGCATGTGTGTGCGTGGGCGCATGTGCATGTGTGTGCATGCATGCATGTATGTATGTGTCTCCCATCTTTACACAGCCTCTTCAGCAACTGCTCTCTACCGAAACAACCTCTCCCTTCCTTCCCTATCTCTCGCAACCTCTCTAACCTGTAAGCCTTGTATCGAATTCCATCCATCCATCCATCCATCCATCCATCCATCCATCCATCCATCCATCCATCCATCCATCCATCCATCCATCCATCCATCCATCCATCCATCCATCCATCCATCCATCCATCCACATTCAACCCACATCAAGATCACCTACATGATCAGCGTTGTTCCGTTGAAAGAACTTTCCCACCCCCTTTTCTCCTTCATCTGGTTTCTACCCACTTCCCCACTTCCACACCATTCTTCCCCCACTTCCACACCATTCTTCCCCCACTTCCACACCATTCTTCCCCCACTTCCTTCCCAGCACCTCACCCTCTCAAAATCTGTCTGCAACTGAACTCTTCCTGCTAGACCGTTTCTCCCCTTCACCCCCCTTCTCTCCCCCACTCCCCCTTTCCCCCTTCCCTTCCCTTCTCCATCCCCCTCCCGCATTGCCTCCCCTTCACCTTCCGCATCGCCTCCCAGGGATCTGAGCACCAACAGTTTCACCGGCTCCATCCCAGGCTCTCTGTTTTGGCAGCACCCCAACCTCGTCAACCTGTCAGTTCATCTCCTCTGTTTGTGTTTCCTACCCTGCGTGTGCCTTTTCAAGACATGGCTCAATAACATTTCAGCGCAACTTTAAACATCAAATTTGCCGTGTTTATGTTCTGCTGAAACGTTGTTCAGCCACGGCAACGTGTCAGCAAAGCTGACCGTTCATGAATTCCATCAGGCTGCTCATTTTCCATGCCATTCACCCCATGCAATGCGCCCCATGCCTTGTACCCCATGCCATGCCCCCATGCCATGCACCCATGCCTTGCACGGTTGCACCCCATGCCATGCACCCATGTCTTGCACCCCATGCCATGCGCCCCATGCCTTGCACCCCATGCCATGCAACCCATGCCATGCAACCCATGCCATGCACCCCATGCCATGCACCCCATGCCATGCACCCCATGCCATGCAACCCATGCCATGCACTTCGTTTAAGTCTCAAGTCTCACTGTGACCAACCCCTCTCCCTGCCCCTTTTCATGACTCCTCATCTTTCCCTCCTTCCTCCCTCCATCGGCAGCAATTTGGCCAACAACGATCTTAATTCGAGCTTCCCTCCAGCAATCGCCAATGCAGCCAATCTGCAATCCGTGTGAGTGGGAAAGCCTCCGACCTCAACCTGTATATTTGGCATAATTAGCATAGTTGGTTGAACTGGCCATGCAGGTTTTGGAAAGGTGGAGTGGAGGAACCTAGGAGCCAAGTCGTGAATGAGAGAGAAAGCGAATGATGCACAAGTCATAGTACAAGGTTATAAGCAGGTTGGGTTGAAACATCAACAGAACCGGTGTTCATCTTAGGATGATGACAGGAAATTGGACCCAGACTGAACGTGAAATGAAACTAGCTCTATCTAAGGATGTCCAGGATGATAATTTAGGGCCACAACAATAGCAGAGCGAACATAAGCCTGCTTCAAGAGGTTCATGTTCTGCTGATGCTGCTTCCTATCGGCTCCTTTTGAGACGTCTCAAAAGACTTTTGAGACGTCTCAAAAGTCGAACATAAGCCTGCTCCAAGAGGTTCATGTTCTGCTGATGCTGCTTCCTATCGGCTCCTTTTGAGACGTCTCAAAAGTTGAACATAAGCCTGCTCCAAGAGGTTCATGTTCTGCTGATGCTGCTTCCTATCGGCTCCTTTTGAGACGTCTCAAAAGACTTTTGAGACGTCTCAAAAGTTGAACATAAGCCTGCTCCAAGAGGTTCATGTTCTGCTGATGCTGCTTTCTATCGGCTCCTTTTGAGACGTCTCAAAAGTCGAACATAAGCCTGCCCCAAGAGGTTCATGTTCTGCTGATGCTGCTTCCTATCGGCTCCTTTTGAGACGTCTCAAAAGACTTTTGAGACGTCTCAAAAGTCGAACATAAGCCTGCTCCAAGAGGTTCATGTTCTGCTGATGCTGCTTCCTATCGGCTCCTTTTGAGACGTCTCAAAAGTCGAACATAAGCCTGCTCCAAGAGGTTCATGTTCTGCTGATGCTGCTTCCTATCGGCTCCTTTTGAGACGTCTCAAAATTCCAACATAAGCCTGCTCCAACAGGTTCATGTTCTGCTGATGCTGCTTTCTATCGGCTCCTTTTGAGACGTCTCAAAAGTCGAACATAAGCCTGCTCCAAGAGGTTCATGTTCTGCTGATGCTGCTTTCTATCGGCTCCTTCTCCCCTTCCCAGTGCCTCCCTCCCACCATGACTAATTCCCCTTCGAAGGGGAAAAGCAAACCATAGTTATTCCCCTCATTCCCCTGTACTCTCCACCCCTCCAGCTTCCTATCAGGCAACCAGCTCAGCGGCGCCCTGCCAGACCTCTCATCTCTTCCCCCCAGCATTGTGTCGCTCTCCCTCTTGTTTTTCTATCCCACCTTTCATCCATCTCCCAGCTTCCTATCCGGCAACCAGCTCAGCGGTCCCCTGCCGGACCTCTCATCGCTGCCCAGCATCGTGTCGCTCTCCCTCTTTGACAACTCCCTCTCTTCCCTGCCGCCCGCATTGCTCGCCAAGAGCAACAACGTCACGCTGCAGTGAGTGGCTTCTCTAGAGTGCCGCCCTCCAGTGTGCCGCCCTCCAGTGTGCCGCCCTCCAGTGTGCTGTCGTTTAGCGTGCCGCCCTTTAGTGTGCCGCTGTCTAGTGTGCCGCTCTTTAGTGTGCCACCCTTTAGTGTGCTTCCTTCTAGTGTGCCGCCGTCCCTACTCACCAGTGGGAACGTCACTTTGCAGTGAGTGGTCTTTCCTGCATCCACATTGTGAGCGTGTTCCCTCACAGTATGTTCGTGAAACCAACAATGCTGCTGCTGTTGTCACTACTATAGCATCCCCTCTGTTCCACCCCCTCTTGTCCACCATCACTTTTCTCTCTCTTTTCACCTCCTCCTCCCCTTCTTTCCCGCTCCTCTATTCCCTGCTCCTCCCCTTCTTCCTTCTCTCCCCCTTCCACCTCCTCCTCACCTTTCCCTTCTCTCTTTCCCTGTTCCCCCCTGCTCCCATCTGCCCAACTCTGCCTCACAGGCTGTTCAACAACGATCTCTGCAAGCCATTCAATCCAAACTACACGCAACTCTGCTCCCCCCCGACTCCGCTCACCCAATACACTGCCCCTGCTTTCTGTGACGGCCTCGCCTGCCAGAACGACCTCTACAGCCCTAGCGCACCGCTCTATAACAAGTCGCTCTCCTGCGTGTGTGTGTCCCCGTTAAGAGTCGACCTGCAGCTGTTTATATCGGATTTCGTGGTATACCATGAGGCGCTGGTGCAACAGTTGGAGCAGCGGATCTTCTCTGAGCTCAACAGCAAGTCTCAGATCAACATCACGAGGCTGCAGGTTAGTTGCCTAGGACAGACATGCAGCTTCTGGGTTGACTGACTGTAGGTCTGAGCTGTAGGTGGAGGAGCAGAGGGTTTTCTGTGAGCTCACCAGAAATTCTCAGATCAACATCAGCAGGTAGCAGGTGAGTTGCCGTTCACAGGGCTGTTGAGTTTGTGTTGAATCAACGGAACGGTATAGCAGGGAAGCAAAGCTGGAGCAGAGTTTTTTCTCTGAATTCACGAGCAAGTCCCAGATCAACATCGGCAGATAAGCCACCTTCAGTATCAGCAGCACACTGGTCACTCATACCCATCACTCCCCTTTCCCTTCCCTTCCCATCACCCATCACTCCCCTTTCCCTTCCCTTCCCATCACCCATCACTCCCCTTTCCCTTCCCTTCCCATCACCCATCACTCCATTGGACACACTGGTCACTCATACCCATCACTCCCCTTCCCTCCCTCCCCTTCCACCCAACATTCCCCTTTCCCTTCCCTTCCGCACTCCACTCCCCTCCCCTTTCCCTTCCCACCCATCACTTCCCTTCCCATCCCCACCGCCAGGTCCTCATCTCTTCCATGAGCAGCGGCGCCTCCCTCGACTCACTCGCATCAACCGTCCCTTCCAACCACACCACATGTGCCAACCACTTCTCACCATCACCGTCTGTTTCTGTCCCAATCCCTCCTTCCCCGCTCGCCCCCACCATCAGGTCCTCGTCTCTTCCATCAGCAGCAGTGCCTCTCTCTCCTCCCTTGCATCACACCACAGGCCACATGCCATCCCCAAAGCCCACCACTCACGAATCAAAAACTTAATTTCTCATACTTTCCCTTCCACTCCCTTCTTTTCCCCTCCTCCCCTACCAACCACCAGGTCCTCGTCTCTTCCATCAGCAGCGGCGCCTCTCTCTCCTCGCTCGCCTCCACCTTCGCCTCGGAGCACATCAACCACCAGTCCACGCTCATCATCACCGTTCTCTTCTTCCCGCCGGGCGGCGACGGCAGCTGGTACCCGCGAGACACACCGCAGGCCATCCGCAACGCCCTCACCTTCGCGGGACCTGGCCGTGCGCGTTGCTCTCGGCAACTTTGGGCTCTTTCGAGTGGTTGGCTTCTACGGCCCGGCACGTGAGTTACGTGATAAGAGTTGACTTTTGAGACGCCTTAGCACTCAAATTTTATCACGCGGTTGGATTCTACGGCCCGGCGCGTGAGTTTGTCGTATCGTATGTGCCGCGTGTCTGGCACCTCTGCTGGGCAGAGAACCTTGCTGTCAGCCCAGAGTAAGTTCCCCTCTGAGACACACCTCGTTTGGGCTGAGCACGGGCGCCATCGTTGATTTGAGACGTCTAAAAACAACAATTTTATTGCGGGCGCCATTGCTGCCATCTCAGTGTGCCTACCCTGTTTCCTCTGCTCGCTTTATCCAACCCAACCTACCACCCCACCTGGTTTTTCCTCCCCTTCTTTCCTTCCAATCGCAGCCCTCACAGCAGACCTCTTTTGGGCTGAGCACTGGTGCCATCGTTGCTATCTCAGTGACCATTCTCCTTTCGTCCGTTTCGCCCTTCCCTTTCCCTTTGTTCTCTCCTTCCTACTACAGCCTATACCCCCCCATCGCCGCAGCAAACTGCTTCCTCTGGGCTGAGCACAGGTGCCATCGTGGCCATCTCAGTGTCTTCCGCTGCTGTTGCTATTGCCCTCATTGTGCTTCTTCTCATGCGCCCCTGGGAGAGGAGAGGTAAGAGGACGGAGGGAGCGGGATAAGGGTTTTGATTCGACTCAAAAGCTATCTCAGTGTCTTCCGCTGCTGTTGTCATTGCCCTCACTGTGCTTCTTCTCATGCGACCCTGGGAGAGGAGAGGTGAGCGGGAGAAGCGAGGTGAGAGAGGGAGAAGAGAGGTGAGGGGGAGAAGAGAGGTGAGAGTGAGGAGAGAGGTGAGAGGGAGGAGAGACATGATAGGAAGGAGGAGAGGGGTGAGAGGGTGGAAAGTGTTATAAATCGACAAGAGGTGAAACGTGACAAGGAGGGTACGCATTTTTGGTTTTGAAAAGATGTTTGGTTGGATTGGTACTGTGGCCAGCAATTTTGGCCCCCGCCAGTAATTTGGGTTGAGAAATTATTGGCGTGTTCAGTAAAACTTAGTCTAAGTTCAGTCATTAGATCATCCAATATTCCCCCAACCCAACGTTGAATTGCCAACTCTAAGGGAGATTCTAGATGTACACCCAATCAAGGTTTGGGCGCTTAGCTCTGATGATGAAGGTAATATGTAGGATACAAGAACAATGATATTCTGACACAATGCCATTTGTCAAAAACCCGACTCGCTCTTCGTGCTCTTGCTTTCCCCTCCTCCGTAAATTTTTGCCCCTCCCACTTTTCCCCTGCAACAACAAGAACAACAACAACAATAGGTGACCTGTTGAGCTACGAGCACTACAGTCTACAGCACGATCGAGGGGCTCCAGATGCTGGGCGTGCACCAGCGCAAGCTCAAGGAGAGCCAATGTGTGCTCACCACACTTCCCCATCCCTCCCCATCCCTTCCCACCTCTATGTTTTCCTGCAACAGGAGACCTGTGGAGTTCAGAGGACTACAGGGCGCCTGAGGGGCTGCAGATGCTGGGCGTGCGTCGGTGCAAGCTCAAGGAGAGGCAATATGTGCTCCCCACCCCTCCCATCTCTCCCCTCCCCTCCCCTTCCCTTCCCACCTCTCTTCACCCCTTCCCACCTCTCTGTTCTCCTACAACAGGAGACCAGTGGAGCTCGGAGGACTACAAGGCGATAGAGGGGCTGCAGATGCTGGGCGTGCGTCGGAGCGAGCTCAAGGAGAGGCAATATGTGCTCCCCACCCCTCCCCATCTCTCCCCACCCGTCCGCTTCCCTTCCCACCCCTCTTCACCCCTTCCCACCTCTCTGTTCTCCTACAACAGGAGACCTGTGGAGCTCGGAGGACTACAAGGCAATAGAGGGGTTGCAGATGCTAGGGGTGCGTCGGTGCAAGCTCAAGGACATAGCGGATGCGACCCAGGGGTTCAAGACGCTACTGGGGGAGGGCGGATACGGACAGGTGTGTATGGGGAGGTATCTGATATATCTGTGGGGCAAACGGGCTGGGGGAGGGCGGTTACGGACAGACACGTGTGTAGGGGAGATATATCTGTGGAGCGGACGGGAAGGTATGAAAGGCATAAAGGTGCAAGATCAAGGAGATGTCAAATGCGATCCATGAATTCAAGATGCCGCTGAGAGAGGGCGAAAATGGACAAGTGTGACTGGGGGAGGGCGCAGATCGGAAGGTACCAACAGGTACAGACTGTGTCACATTAGGCTCCAATATAACTTAAACGAAAGATAAGAGTGCACAGACGGATTTCTGTAGACGGCTTCAAAACTTGATATCGTTCTTGTCGCAACACTAAATGAAGTTCTATAAATTGAAAGTGAAGCAATAAATGATGTCGTATACAATGGACAATCTGGATCACTCGATTTGATGAAGGATTGATGACGTGACAGTAGTTTGAGCGAACGGCAGCGAAGGGTCTCGAAAATATCTACCACAAGGGCTTACACCAGCCAAAATGTTACGTTACACAATGCAGTATAACTATTTTTACTATCTTGATGTTTACCATTTGGCGAGCTCCGAAATCATTTGAATCTTGAAACAAAGACTCTGGTCTATCAATATAAACGTATTTAAAATCTTGGAAGTTTGCTAAACACACCTGCGACACGCCGAATGTATGACAAAATAGAAAACGCTCACGATACGCAAACGACGTCGTGACACACGACTTGCGAAATCGCAATTGACCCAACTCACGCGTTCGACATCATGACTCGTCATTCACACACTCGTATAAGCATGGAGTATATGTTATCACATGGTCTCATACCATGCCATGCAAACACACACGCACACACAAGGACAACAAGCCCTCCCATGCTCACCATTCCGTGCAAACACACAAGCACGCACAAGGACAACAAGCCGAGTGCAAACCATGAGGTTGCACCATGAGGTACAGACAGGTACAGATGGATATGGACAGGTTTGACGGTGTGAGGGGGGAGGGCTCAATTGGGAAGGTACAGACAGATGCACGCTCAGGGAGAGAGATAGGTGACACGACCCAGGTTTTCAAGGTATTGCTGGGGGAAGGATAATATGGGCAGGTATATGGCGAGGCATATATGTGAGAGGGGGGGGGAGGATATGCGGCAGGTATAACGTATATCTGTGATGGGGAAGGGGAGGATATGGACAAGTATGATAGTGGTTGGGGCAGCTTCACTTCCCATGCCTCTTCCCATGCCTCTTCCCATGCCTCTTCCCTTGCCTCTTCCCATGCCTCTTCCCATGCCTCTTCCCATGCCTCTTCCCGTGCCTCCTCCCATGCCTCTTCCCATGCCTCTTCCCATGCCTCTTCCCATGCCTCCTCCCATGCCTCTTCCCATGCCTCTTCCCATGCCTCTTCCCATGCCTCTTCCCGTGCCTCCTCCCATGCCTCTTCCCATGCCTCTTCCCATGCCTCTTCCCATGCCTCTTCCCAAACCTCTTCCCATGCCTCTTCCCATGCCTCTTCCCATGCCTCTTCCCATGCCTCTTCCCATGCATCTTCCCATTCCTCTTCCCATGCCTCGCTCCATGCCTCTTCCCATGCCTTTTCCATGCCTCTTCCCAGTGTCTGACCATTCTCAGGTGTACTGAGTGGTGCTGGTCTCAGGGGGAGCAGCACAGAAAAGCTCTGCCTTCACCTCGTCTCCCGTTTCTGCTCCCCATGCCTTGCCTATCTGCTCCCCATGCCTTGCCTATCTGCTCCCCATGCCTTGCCTATCTGCTCCCCATGCCTTGCCTATCTGCTCCCCATGCCTTGCCTATCTGCTCCCCGTGCCTTGCCTATCTGCTCCCCATGCCTTGCCTATCTGCTCCCCATGCCTTGCCTATCTTCTCCCCATGCCTTGCCTATCTGCTCCCCATGCCTTGCCTATCTGCTCCCCATGCCTTGCCTATCTGCTCCCCATGCCTTGTCTATCTGCTCCCCATGCCTTGCCTATCTGCTCCCCATGCCTTGCCTATCTGCTCCCCATGCCTTGCCTATCTGCTCCCCATGCCTTGCCTATCTGCTCCCCATGCCTTGCCTATCTGCTCCCCATGCCTTGCCTATCTGCTCCCCATGCCTTGCCTATCTGCTCCCCATGCCTTGCCTATCTGCTCCCCATGCCTTGCCTATCTGCTCCCCATCGTCTCCCGTTTCTGCTCCCCATGCCTTGCCTATCTGCTCCCCATGCCTTGCCTATCTGCTCCCCATGCCTTGCCTATCTGCTCCCCATGCCTTGCCTATCTGCTCCCCATGCCTTGCCTATCTGCTCCCCATGCCTTGCCTATCTGCTCCCCATGCCTTGCCTATCTGCTCCCCATGCCTTGCCTATCTGCTCCCCATGCCTTGCCTATCTGCTCCCCATGCCTTGCCTATCTGCTCCCCATGCCTTGCCTATCTGCTCCCCATGCCTTGCCTATCTGCTCCCCATGCCTTGCCTATCTGCTCCCCATGCCTTGCCTATCTGCTCCCCATGCCTTGCCTATCTGCTCCCCATGCCTTGCCTATCTGCTCCCCATGCCTTGCCTATCTGCTCCCCATGCCTTGCCTATCTGCTCCCCATGCCTTGCCTATCTGCTCCCCATGCCTTGCCTATCTGCTCCCCATGCCTTGCCTATCTGCTCCCCGTGCCTTGCCTTTCTGCTCCCCGTGTCTTGCCTATCTGCTCCCCATGCCTTGCCTATCTGCTCCCCATGCCTTGCCTATCTGCTCCCCATGCCTTGCCTATCTGCTCCCCATGCCTTGCCTATCTGCTCCCCATGCCTTGCCTATCTGCTCCCCATGCCTTGCCTATCTGCTCCCCATGCCTTGCCTATCTGCTCCCCATCGTCTCCCGTTTCTGCTCCCCATGCCTTGCCTATCTGCTCCCCATGCCTTGCCTATCTGCTCCCCATGCCTTGCCTATCTGCTCCCCATGCCTTGCCTATCTGCTCCACATGCCTTGCCTATCTGCTCCCCATGCCTTGCCTATCTGCTCCCCATGCCTTGCCTGCTCCCCATGCCTTGCCTATCTGCTCCCCATGCCTTGCCTATCTGCTCCCCATGCCTTGCCTATCTGCTCCCCATGCCTTGCCTATCTGCTCCCCATGCCTTGCCTATCTGCTCCCCGTGCCTTGCCTTTCTGCTCCCCGTGTCTTGCCTATCTGCTCCCCATGCCTTGCCTATCTGCTCCCCATGCCTTGCCTATCTGCTCCCCATGCCTTGCCTATCTGCTCCCCATGCCTTGCCTATCTGCTCCCCATGCCTTGCCTATCTGCTCCCCATGCCTTGCCTATCTGCTCCCATGCCTATCTGCTCCCCATGCCTTGCCTATCTGCTCCCCATCGTCTCCCGTTTCTGCTCCCCATGCCTTGCCTATCTGCTCCCCATGCCTTGCCTATCTGCTCCCCATGCCTTGCCTATCTGCTCCCCATGCCTTGCCTATCTGCTCCACATGCCTTGCCTATCTGCTCCCCATGCCTTGCCTATCTGCTCCCCATGCCTTGCCTGCTCCCCATGCCTTGCCTATCTGCTCCCCATGCCTTGCCTATCTGCTCCCCATGCCTTGCCTATCTGCTCCCCATGCCTTGCCTATCTGCTCCCCATGCCTTGCCTATCTGCTCCCCATGCCTTGCCTATCTGCTCCCCATGCCTTGCCTATCTGCTCCCCATGCCTTGCCTATCTGCTCCCCATGCCTTGCCTATCTGCTCCCCATGCCTTGCCTTTCTGCTCCCCATGCCTTGCCTTTCTGCTCCCCATGCCTTGCCTTTCTGATTCCCATGCCTTGCCTATCTGCTCCCCGTGTCTGATCCACTCTCTGGTGTGCTGTGCTGGAATCAGGGGATGTGGTTTCATGCGTCAAACACTTAGGTGCCAGAACTTCAGGCATTTGCCATGCCTCTCCTTCGTCCCGTGCCGGACCCACTCTCAGGTGTACCGGGGAGTGATGGAATCAGGGGAGGTGGTGGCAGTGAAACGAGCCAAGGGGCACGTGAAGGTGGGTCAGGAACATTGTCATGTGAATTTTCAGGTGGGTCTTCAGGTGGATCATCAGATGTTTGCAAATGTTTCCATGTGAACCAGCGTAGTGTGGCATTTAATTGAGGGAGTGTACACACATTTCTTTTCCTCACTCCCCACTCCCCCTTTCCAACTCACCGTCTGTCCTCCACTCCCCCACTTTCCAACTCACTGTCTGTCCATGCCCCACCACTCACCAGCTATGCGGCACAGAGTTCCGCCACGAGAGTCAGCCGTGCGCCACTGCAACCTCATGCCACTCGGTGGCTTCTGTGTCTCTCGAACTCACCGTCTCTCCCTACTCCCCACTTCCCCACCTTGCCATCTTTACATGCCCACCCACCAGCTATGTGGCACAGAGTTCCGCCACGAGATCCAGCTGCTCTCAGCCGTGCGCCACCGCATCCTGGTGGCCTTGAAGGGTTCCTATGTCTATCGAACTCACCGTCTCTCCCTACTCCCCACCTCACCATCTTTACATGCCACGCCCACCAGCTGTGCGGCACTGAGTTCCGTGTCGGGGTTACTCCCCTCTCCTTCCTCACTCATCTCTTGCCCTTGCCTCTTCCCTGGCTTCTGACCTCACCTTCTTCCCTTCCTTCTTATTCTGGCCTTTCCCCACCTTGTGCTGTCCCCACTCCTGCTGCCCTGTTCCCTTCTTCGTTCTCTCGTCTTGTGAGAGATTCAGGCTCCCACACGCAGGCCGCCCACAGTGGCGCAGTCACCTAGCTTAAGTAGCTTTAAAACGATAACACTAAACCACTATACGAGGCGAACAAGACGAGAGAACAGGTTTGCAATGCTAGGCTAGGCTATTTGTGCTTGGCTGCCCAGTCGCGAGTAACTCAGCGTGCCGGGCTGAGCTCGAGCCGCCTGGGCCTTGGATTGGCCCTCGCCAGATTGCCTGTCTCCCGAGGTTCCTGAAATTGTCCCCGAAGCGCCCTGTAACCCCCCATGCTACCAACTTCTCGCTACTCTCTATAACCCAACTACCCCTCATGCAGATTGAGTAAAACTCGCTACACCACTTCTACACCCAATTAGCACATGTCTCCAATATGATGCACTTACCATTATATTCGGTGACATCCGCAACAAGATCCAGCTGCTCTCAGACGTGTGCCACCGCATCCTGGTGGCCTTGAAGGGTTCCTGTGTCTATCGAACTCACCGTCTCTCCCTACTCCCCACTTCCCCACCTCACCATCTTTACATGCCACGCCCACCAGCTGTGCGGCACTGAGTTCTGCAACGAGATTCAGCTGCTCTCAGCCGTGCGCCACCGCAACCTGGTGCAGCTGAAGGGCTTCTTTCTCTCCCACTCACTTCTCTCTTCTCTTTCCCAATTCCCCCCTTTGTACCCACCAGCTGTGCGGCACTGAGTTTCGCAACGAGATCCAGCTGCTCTCAGCCGTGCGCCATCGCAACCTCGTGCAGCTGAAGGGCTTTTGTGTGGAGGGGGGCGAGCAGCTACTGGTGTATGAGTTCATTGAGAGGGGCACGCTGGAAGATCTGCTGAGAGGTAAACACTATCACCTTGTCAGAAGGACTGCACAGGGGATGCCCGATTGGTCCTAGAGAAGGGTTATAAGCTCGCTGACCTGGGGGGGGTTATGGGCGCATTGACCCGCTACTTAACAAGCCCTTTTATCCAGCAGCTTAGTGGTTGGAATTTTGACATGGTATCAGAGCAAAGGTCTCGGGTTGATAATCCCCATGTGCGCACATGCTGGTGATGCCGCTGTGCCGTTTTGCAAGGGCATCCCTGTGAAGGGGGGTGGCAAAAGACCTGCACTGGGGATGCCCGATTGATCTTAGGGAAGAGTTACAGTCTCGCTGGCCTGGGGGGTTGTGGGCGCACTGACCCGGGGGGTTGTGGGCGCACTGACCCGCTACTTAACAAGCATTTTTATCCCAGTGGTCTAGTGGTTTTGATTCTGACACACCTGTCGTGTGCGGTTTGTACTCTGTGTGGAGGCGAGCGAGCAGCTGTCGTTGAGAGGGGGACGCTAGAGGACATGCTGAGAGAGGTACGTATCAATGAAGATATCAACCCTAAGCCAGGGTATTGAGCTTGCGACCCGAGTATTGAGCTTGCGACCCGAGTATTGAGCTTGCGACCCGAGTATTGAGCTTGCGACCCGAGTATTGAGCTTGCGACCCGAGTATTGAGCTTGCGACCCGAGTATTGAGCGTGTGACCCGAGTATTGAGCTTGCGACCCGAGTTCAATGAGAGGGCAATGAAAATCGCCTTCCCAAGTATACCAAGCCCGTGTGTCCCCTCCTCCCTTTCTTTTTTGCAACTGTCAGGCTGTCAGCCAACTTATGTAAGTTATTCTTTTGAGCGCTCTGTTGTTGATGCGCTTAAAAATATCGAGGGTAGAGAGACAACCTTTGAGGCACCGAAAATTCGTCAAGTATACAAGCATTGCACGCACACTCACTCCTTCCCTCCCCTTTGTATATACCTACCAGCACACTTTAAGCACCCCTCAAGAGTCGCCAAGTATTCCAACAACCCACACTCCTTCTCTCCCCTTGGAGTGCCCCTACCAGAAAGATCAAAGCACCGCTGACATGGCGGAAGTGCGTTGACATCACGTGTGGGGCAGCCAGTGGGTTCTTCAACCCCTCCCATCCTCCCCCTCCCCCCCCCCCCCCCACCTTTTTCTCCTTTTATGCCCCTACCAGCCGACTCAAAGCACCCGCTGACGTGGCGGAAGCGCATTGACATCGCGTGTGGTGCAGCGAGTGGGTTTGCGTATCTGCACCATCAGATCAAGCCGCCCATCATTCACCGCGATGTGAAGGTGCGTGTGGTAGGAACATGCATGCATTCTAGTGTGTGAGACGCGTGCATGAGTGTGCAAGCTTGCATCGCCTGTGGCGCGGCCAGTGGGTTCGCGTACCTGCACCATCAGATCAAGCCGCCCATCATCCACCGGGACGTCAAGGTAGGTAGGGAGCACGCATGTGTGAGTATGAGAGTGACACAAGTGCTCGTCTGTGCACGTGTGGGGCAGCGAGTGTTGCATACCTGCACCATAAAATCAAACCCCCTATTCTTCTCTGCGATGTGAAGGTAGGGAGGGGGGTGGTCTTCTTGCGTTGGAACATGCATGCTCAATGCTCATCCGTCTGCAAGTTTCCATCGCGAGTTGTTCAGCCAGTGGGTTTGCAAACCTCCACCGTCAGATCAAGCCACCCATCATCCACCGGGACGTGAAGGTAGGGAGGGAGCATGCGTGCATGAGTGTGAGAGTGGGAACATGCACACATGCTCATCTGTGCTCCTGGGTTTGCATACCTGCACGGTTGCACCATCAGATCATGCCGCCCATCATCCACCGGGATGTGAAGGTGTGTGCACATGAAAATTAGCCACGTGATAAAAGTTGTATTTTGAGAATACAAAGTGTCTCAAAATACAAATTTTATCACGTGAAGGTGTGTGCACATGAAAACACAAATCTTGTCTTTAGAATATAAACCCTCTGCCTTTTACTCTAAAGACAAGCTTTGAGTTTGGTATCTCCAAATTTGAAAGCACATACCCCCTTTACCTTCTGTGCCCTTCCCGCTGCCCCCTGCCCCTTGCCCTTTGTCCCATTCCCTCTTCCCCCCTCTCCCCCTTGCCCTTTGTCCCATTCCCTCTTCCCCCCTCTCCCCCTGTTCCCCCCTGCTCCCCCACCAGACGGTTAACATCCTCGTCACAGCGGGCCTAGAAGCCAAGTTTGCTGACTTGGGAATTTCCAAAGTTGGAGATATATCCCTCCTTCCCTTCGTCCTGCTCCCTGGCCCCTGCCGCATTCCCCCTCTCCCCCGTTCCCCCCCAACCCAACCCCCCCTCCCCTCCCACCAGACGGCCAACATCCTGGTCACAGCAGGCCTCGAGGCAGAGGCGTCCGACTTTGGGATTTCCAAGGCTGAAAGCATATATATCCCCATTCCCCGTCCCATTTCCCTTTCCCCTTTCCTCCTGCCCCCTGCCCCTAAACCAGACGGACAACATCCTGGTCACAGCGGGCCTCGAGGCAAAGGTGTCCGACTTTGGAATCTCCAAGGCGGTTCCAGAGGAGGTGGAGAAGGGCGGGAGGCTGGACACGCAAGTGAAAGGGACTGTGGTGAGTGCAGGGGGTAGGGTGGGGGGAAGGGGAGGAGGGAGGGAGGAGAGGGGGGGTGATTGAGTAGTTCCATGGCCTTGGGAGGAACAGCCTGAGGAGGCGGAGAAAGGGAGGAGACTGGACACGCAAGTGAAGGGGACTGTGGTGAGTGAGAGGGGGGAATGGTTGATGTGGGCAGCGGGAGTGGTGAGTGCATGGGAGTGTCTGGATATCACACGACTTGTAACAATGCTCACTCACACCACACGTGTGAAATTTCTTTAGACGCCTAAATAACCTTTCAGGCACCTCACGGGGAGCGTGTGAGTTGTTACAGGCTGTTTGAGATTCCTCTTTTCTCCTCTCTATTCTTGCCCCCCTTGCCTACTCTAGGGCTATCTAGACCCTCAGTATTTCCAGTGTGACCTGCTAACGGAAAAGAGTGACGTGTACAGCTTCGGCATCGTATTGATATGGTTTTCCTCTTTCTCCTCTCTGCTTTTCTCCCTCTTTCATACCCCAGGGTTATTTGGACCCGGAGTATTTCCAATGCGATCTACTCACGGAAAAGAGTGACGTGTACAGCTTTGGCATCGTGATGCTAGAGCTGGCCACTGGCCTCTCATGCTCCTCTCTCCCCATATCTTGTCTCCCCCATTGCCCATTTCCCACCGTGCCTCCCGCCTTCAGGGCTTTTTGGACCCACAGTATTTCCAATGTGATATACTCACGGAAAAGAGTGACGTGTATGTCAAACTAACGATTAAGAATGAATGAACTATGAAAAAGTTGGGTACAAGTACTAACCCTAATTGAGTTGTACCTCTTATGGGCTACCCCACTATAGCCTACACAAATGTAAGCACCATAACATTCTGACACACCCCCATCAGCAAAGTGAGGGAAAACAAGTGGTCACAAGACCAGTCAAGAAAAAGCAAAGCAAGCTCAGGGTGGATCACAAAGTCACCACACAGTCCAAGCACAAGCAAAGGGCCACAAGGCCAGTTCACATGCAGAGTTATAAAAAAAAAAAACAAGCAATACAGTGATCATACCCTAGCAAGTGTAAGCATGCAGGTATATATATAGATCACAGTACAAGCAAAGTCACGCAATGAGCAAGTGAGGCAAAGTAGGCACAAGGCCTAACACAGTAGAGAAACGCTGATGATCACCAGCCGAAAATGCCTTGGTGAATATATCAGCAATGTTGGACCTAGTGGCCACGTACGCAAGACGAAGCTGTCTACGCTGCTGCACCTCTCGAGCAAGGAAGTAGCGCAGAGTGATGTGCTTCGTTCTGTGCTCCAGTCTCTGCTCCTGACACAAGGCAATCATGGCCTTGTTGTCTACGTACAGAACTGGAGGCGAACGAGGCTGCTCTCCCAAGTCAGTCAGCAGGTAGGTGAGCAAGCGTAGCTCCTGTGCAGCCATGGCCCCTGCGTAGATCTCAGTCTCACAACTGGAGCTGAAAACCGAAGACAAGCGGGTAGACCGCCAAGAAACAGAGTCGGAACCGAGGCTGAAGGTGTAACCCTGTAACGACCGCTGCGTAGCCAAGTCGTCAACCCAAGAAGCGTCTGCGAGACCAGTGAGGACAACTGGACCCCGTCCTCCAAGCACGAGCCCCATGCCTGACGTACTGCACAAGTAACGCAGTACCCTCTTCGCAGCATCCCAGTGCACCTTTCGGTGCCTACCGGGAGCCACGTAGCAAGCCAGGAGGCTGAGAGGGTACGCGAAGTCAGGTCGTGTGCACGTCATCAGGTACATGAGGCAACCCACAAGCTCTGGGTACGGACCACTCAGCTCTACGGACTCGTCCGAAGGTGGAACTGAGAGCGAGTGGCCGGTAGACAGAGGAGTGGGCTGTGGCGAGTAGAACTGGAAGCCGAAGCGCTGAAGGATCTGGTGCATCATGTGTGACTGAGTCAGGGTGATGGTGCGCCATGCTCTTTCCCGAGTGATCTGCAAGTCAAGATAGCTGCGAAGCTCACCCAGGTCAGTGCAGGTGTCTCTTCTGCAGCTCGGAATTCACAAGGGTCAGTGCCTCAGTGTCAGCAGTGGCAGAGACGAGGTCGTCGACGTACACGAGGACGTAGAACGGCGACAGCGACGTGTCGGTGCGTAGAAACAGCAACGGGCCAGCAGTAGAAGGAGTAAACCCCAGAGTCGCAAGTGTAGTCCTGAGTGTGTTGTGCCACTCGCGAGGTGCTTGGCGAAGACCGTAGACTGGTCGCCGGAGGCTCCACTGGGTACCTGCAGGAAACGACCCAGTGAAGCCAGATGGGCGGCGCAGCCATATCTCCTCGTGCAGGCTGCCCAGCAAGAAAGCTGTAGTGAAGTCCAGAGAGTGCAGCTCGTAGTCACGCTGAGCAGCGACGTGCAGCAACACCCGAAGAGTGGTCATCTTCGAGGTGGGAGAGAAGGTCTGGAAGTAGTCAACCCCCTGTCGCTGACTGAAGCCTCGAGCAACGTAACGCGTCTTGAAAGCAGGCGGAGAACTCGGTGGCCGCTTCACCCTGAAAATCCACATGCCATCGACTATGTTCGTCCGAGACGGGGGAACTGGGTCGACGTAGGTGCCTGTGGGCTTCCAGGATGCCATCTCGGCATCCATGGCTGTCTGCCACTGAGAGGAGTAGGGACCCGTAATCGCCTCTGCGTAAGAGCGCGGGGTCAAGATGTCTGGTGCATCCGGGTCTCCCTCAGGGGCAAGCAGCATGGAAGCGAAATGAGGTACAGCAGCTGCAAGACACTCAAAGTCCTCCTGCCTGTCCTCAAGGACGTCCATGCCAAGAGCACACTCACCCCCGACGGACGGAGGACTGGCAGACATTGACTCAGCGACAAGAGCAGTGGCGTAGTCTAGACGACAGGTAGCAGCAAAGTCAAGCAGCTCAGCAACGAAGGCAGACGCAGCAGTGGACACAAAAGAAGGGTCAGTGACAACAGTGGCGAGGAGACGAGAGATAGTGGGACTGGCTGCACGAGCGCCGTCAGACTCAGGGTTAAGGACGGCAGGAAGAGAGGACTCAGGAGGAGGCGGTAGAGGAACAAGCGCGGGGCTGTAAGGGCGGCTCGCGGGTTGCAGGGGCGAGGGGCGGGCCGCAAGGGACGGCGCGCGGGGCCTGGGGTCGACGGGCTGGCCGGGGCCTAGGGGGCGACGGGCCGGGGCCTAGGGGCGATGGGCCTAGGGGCGACGGGCGACGACCCGGGGTCGGGGTCTAGGGGCGACGAGCGACGGGCCAAGGCCTAGGGGCGACGGGCGACGGGCCGGGGCTAGGGGCGACGGGCCTACGGGCGACGGGCGACGGGCCGGGGCCTAGGGTCGATTGGCAGGCCGCACGAGGGCGGCACACTGGGCAGCAGGTGCGGCACGAGGATCGCTAGGGGCGGCGCGTGATCCAGCAGGGCGGCTAGTGGGGCAGCGCTGTGGTGGGCCCGAAAAATCGGTCCTAATGAAGGACCTGCTTTGAAACCATGTCAAACTAATGAACAAGAATGAATAAACTATGAAAGAGTTGGGTACAAGTACTAACCGTAATTGAGTTGTACCTCTTATAGACTACCACACTATATCCTACACAAATGTAAGTATTACAACATTCTGACAGTGTACAGCTTTGGCATCGTGCTGCTAGAGGTGGCCACTGGCCTCCTCCTCTCATGCTTCTCTCTCCCCATATCTTGTCTCCCCCATTGCCCATTTCCCGCCGTGCCTCCCGCCTTCAGGGCTTTTTGAACCCACAGTACTTCCAATGCGATCTACTCACGGAAAAGAGTGACGTGTACATCTTTGGCATCGTGCTGCTAGAGCTGGCCATTGGCCTCCTCCTCTCATGCTCCTCTCTCCCCATATCTTGTCTCCCCCATTGCCCATTTCCCGCCGTGCCTCCCGCCTTCAGGGATTTTTGGACCCACAGTACTTCCAATGCGATCTACTCATGGAAGAGAGTGACGTGTACAGCTTTGGCATCGTGCTGCTAGAGCTGGCCAACAGCCATCCCTCGTGCCCCTCTTCCCCCTCTTCTGGTCTCTCCCCCTTTGCCCTGCCCACCTGTTTTCACTTCAGGGCTATCTGGACCTACAGTACTTCCAATGCGATCTACTCACGGAAAAGAGTGACGTGTACAGCTTTGGCATCGTGCTGCTAGAGCTGGCTAACAGCCATCCCTCGTGCCCCTCTTCCCCCTCTTCTGGTCTCTCCCCCCTTTGCCCTGCCCACCTGTTTTCACTTCAGGGCTATCCGGACCCTCAGTACTTCCAGTGTGACCTACTCACGGAAAAGAGTGACGTGTACAGCTTTGGCATTGTGTTGCTAGAGCTAGCCACCGGTCTTCTCTCATCGGTCTCCTCTCATTCTCCTCTCCCCCTTCGACTGGTGTGTTTCCCTCCCAGGGCTATTTGGACCCTCAGTACTTCCAATGCGATCTACTCACGGAAAAGAGTGACGTGTACAGTTTCGGCATCGTGCTTCTAGAGATGGCCACCGGTCTCCGCCCCGTGACCAACGGGGAGCATATCCGATCGGTTGTAATTGATAAGGTTACCAACCATGGGGGCGTGTACAGTGTTATGGACCCAGTACTGAAAGCCTTGTGGGAGAGCCAGCAGCGGGGAGAGGGGGGAGCGGGAGCAGGAGGGGGAGCTGGAGGGGGAGCCGGAGCGGGAGGGGGAGCTGGAGGGGGAGCGGGAGCGGGAGGGGGAGCTGGAGGGGGAGTGGGAGCGGGAGCAAGGGGCGGAGAGGGCGGAGGTAACAGTGTGAATGGGGAGGGGGGGAAGGGTGAGAGCGAGCCTCTGGAGGAGACGTGTGGGAGCGAGGCTCTGGAGGATACGTTTGAGTGGTTCCTGCGGCTGGGGATGCGGTGCAGCCTCCGGCAGGCTCAGATTCGACCCGACATGCAGCAGGTGTTGAAAGAGCTGCACGGGATTAGGAATATGCTTAACTGTGTTGCCGGCTCCCATAGGGGGAGTGGTGCTGCTGCTGGTGATGGTGGTGGTGGTACTGCTGGTACTACTGGTGCTGCTGCTGATGATGGTGCTGGGGATGGTGGTGGTGCTGCTGGTGGTGCTGGTGCTGCTGGTGGTGACGGCAGCAACAGGCGGTCCAATGGCGAGTGGTCCGATGGGGAGAGGTCCAATGGGGAGAGGTCCATTGGGGCAGTGAGTTCCCAAGCTGGTAGATCCTTCTGGACAGAAATCGTGGCCTCGGCGTCGAAAGGGCCGAGCAGGTTCAAGGAGGAGATTGATGAGGAGATGGATGAGGAGGAAGCGGAGTGGTTGTTTGCTGAGCGGATGAAGAGGGACGTAGGGAAGGCAGAGACGCTGGGTAGCGATGGGGATGGACTGCTGAACCACACGCTGACTTTCACCGGGAGTGAGCCACTGGTCAAGGTGGTGCCTCGTTGAACGGGAAAAGGGAAGGAGGGAAGGGATGGAGGAAAGGGATGGAGGGAAGGGATGGAGGAAAGGGAGGGAGAGACGTCAAGCAGCGATGGGGATGGGCTGCTGAACCACATGGTGAATTTCACCGGGAGTGAGCCGCACATTAAAGTGGTTCTCCGATGAACAGGGGGGGGTGAAGGTGGAAGAGGGTGGTAGTATGGGGTAGTGTCAAGCAGTGCTGGGGATGGGCTGCTAAGCCACATGGTGACTTTCACCGGAAGTGAGCCGCAGATCAAGGTGGTGCCTCGATGAACAGGGGGGAGAGGGAGTGGTGGGGTAGGGCAGCATGGGGGGGTGTCAAGCAGCGATGGGGATGGGCTAAACCACATGGTGACTTTCACAGGCAGTGAGCCGCACATCGAGGTGGTTCCTTGATGGAAAGAGGAGGGATGGAGTGGAGGGACGTCAAGCAGCAATGGAGATGTGCTGCTGAGCCACGTGGTGGCTTTCACCGGAAGTGCCCCGCAGATCGAGGTGGTTCCCGAGATGAACAGGGGAGAGGGCGGGCGGGGGAATGGGGGACAGCATGGGGGAAAGTCAAGTGAAGCTGGGGATGGGCTACTGAGCCACGTGGTAGCATTCACCGGGAGCGCACCACAGATTGAGGTGATACATCTGGATGTTCCTCCTACGCATGAATGATCCTACGGTATTTGAGTGATTCGCTGAATCGAGAATCGAAACTGTAAGTTTTTTGCTTGGTTAATCTTGCAGCAGAACGCTAGTGCTATAACGAGCACATATATGCTTCTATTTGGAAATATCTGGAGTAGTATACTCCCCAATTAGGCATTTCTCCCAGAAAACCACAAATAGCGTATAAGCATCTCCCGAATCCCGATAGGAAGGAAAATATGGTGATGTCTGAAGCTTTACGGCTTAAAATTACTATGATTATGAGCCTCAAGAATTACCTACAGCAGTTCTGGAAAGAAGTCATCCCACCAATGCGCACTCTGAAGCCTCTCTTTGCCTTCATGCTCCTATCTGGAACAGCATGCATCTACCCGGGCTTGTGCCCAAGAAATCGTCAAAATGCATGAAGCAGCTAGTGGTCAGGGCTCTGGCTAGGATTTAGGCCCGTCTGAAACCAAAGTCCATGAAAAAAATTCGTCTGAGCAAAATATGAGCAAATCTTGGCGGTCTGTAAACTCAGACGAACCAGAAGTCACAGTCTGGGAATTCAGACGAACAACAGACCAGAGCCCTGTCTGTATGTATACCATACATTTTACTTGTGTTTAGAACTTTCATTGCGTTCTAATAAAAAAATACCACTTGTGACACACAGCAGACATACTAGAATCACTACTGAGGGAGGAAGGACGGAAGCCTACTCTGAGTCACTACTATCACTACTATTGCTGCTGTTGGGGCTGCTGCTGCTGCTGCTGCTGTCTACAGTATCCTTTTCATCGAAGGGGTTGTCCAAGTCCAAGGGAGCTGAAGCCTTGGTCTTGCCCCTGCTCTGCCATCCACCTTCCTCAGCTTCCACCCTGGCGCTCTCCTTTGCTGCTGTTGCCGCAGCTGCTGCCGCTTCCGCTGCTGCTGATGCTGCTGCCGCTTTCGCCAAGGCTTTCTTTTCCTTCTTGGAGCGCTTCACCGGCCTTGAGCCCGCAGCCATCACCACCACCTCCTTGGCAGGTCTGCGTTTCTTGCTGCAGCGCCAGAGCCTAATCAACTCCGGGAAATCCAGGTCGTACTTCAGCAGGGACACCGTCATCAGCCCTGACAGCTTCATGTCGCAGAGGTTGCCACGAAGCCAGCTCTTTATGAGATTCTGGCGCGAGAATCCGCACTCGCACTCGACCGTCGACAGAGGAAGAACGGCTACAGCGATTCAGATGTTCACAAGGTTCGGATATGCCTGCGTCCAGTCGGGTGTAGAGAGCATTTGCTTCAGTCCCTCTTGAAACTCAAGGTCGTTGTGGTGAGTGGAGAGGATGGTGGTGAAGTTTTTCAGCTCACGCTGCGCTTTCGCCCAGTTGACTCCTGAGGTAGGGAAGGGAAAGGGTTATAGCAGGGCTTATATTTTACGGGAACTTCGTGTCAGAACATTATAGCTTATACATTTGTGTAGGCTGTAGTGGGGTAGCCCATAAGGGGTACAACCCAATTAGAGTTAGTACTTGTACCCAACTGTTTGCTAGTTCATTCATCCTCGTTCGTTATTTTGACATGGTATCAGAGCAGGTTCCTTGGGCCCACCACCTGCTACGCTGCCAGTAACCGCCCCTAGGCCCGTCGCTCCTAGCCTATGCGGCCCATCGACCCCTAGCCCGCGCCCGGCCCCGTTCCTAGCCCGCGCCCGGCCACGTCGGCCCTTAGCCCCGCGCCCAGCCTCGTACCTAGCCCGCGCCCGGCCCCGTACCTAGCCTCACGCCCGGCCCCGTATCGCGCCCGGCCCCGTATCACGCCCAACGCCCGGCCCCGTTCCTAGCCCGCGCCCGGCCCCGTACCCCTTGCGCCCGGCCCCGTATCGCGCCCGGCCCCGTATAGCGCCCAACGCCCGGCCCCGTACCTCCCCAGCGCCTGGCCCCGTCCCTTGCCCAGCGCCCGGCCCCGTATCTAGCCCGCGCCCGGCCCCGTACTTAGCCCGCGCGTGGCCGCGTACCTAGTCTCGCGCCCGGCCCCGTACCTGCCTAGCGCCCGGCCCCGCACCTGCCTAGCGCCCGGCCCCGTATCGCGCCCAACGCCCGGCCCCGTACCTCCCCAGCGCCCGGCCCCGTCCCTTGCCCAGCGCCCGGCCCCGTACCTAGCCCTGCGCCCGGCCCCGTTTTGCGCCCCACGCCCGGCCCCGTACCTGCCCAGAGCCCGGCCCCGTACCTAGCCCGCGCCCGGCCCCGTACCTAGCCCGCGCCCGGCCCCATACCTAGCCCGCGCCCGGCCCCGTACCTAGCCCGCGCCCGGCCCCGTACCTAGCCCGCGCCCGGCCCCGTACCTAGCCCGCGCCCGGCCCCGTACCTAACCCGCGCCCGGCCCCATACCTAGCCCGCGCCCGGCCCCGTACCTAGCCCGCGCCCGGCCCCGTACCTAGCCAGCGCCCAGCCCCGTACCTAGCCCGCGCCCGGCCCCGTCCCTAGTCCGCGCCCGGCCCCGGCGGCCTCTTAGCCCCACTGTCACTGCTGCTCCTGCTACAGCTGCTACTGCTACTGCTACAGCTGCTACTGCTGCTCCTACGTCCTACACAGCTATGGCTTCGCTTCGTGTCCTTGCGTTTGATCATGAGGGTAGACCAGTTCAGTTTGACACGTGGCTTGACGACCTGCAGCTGTACCTACTGAGCGATTCTAAGGACAGTGTCTCGCTTTTTGACCTAGCGTCAGGAGCTGCTACTGCCCCTCCCGCCACAGCCGACAGTTCGACTCGCTCACAGTGGCTTACTCGAGACGCTGCTTCCCGCTTAGCCATTCGCAACCACCTGCCGTTAGCTGAGTATGCTCACTTTGGACAGCACAGGACAGCACAGGCACTGTACGACGCTGTAGTCGCCCGCTACTCCTCACCTGCCACAGCAGCTCTAGGCCGCCTCCTTCTGCCCTACCTGTTCCCCGAGCTGTCCGCCTTTGCCACAGTCGAGGACCTGGTTTCCCATCTTCGCGCTAGTGACGCTCGCTACCGCGCTGCCGTTCCTGCTGAGTTCCTTGACAGGAACCCGCCCCCGATGTACATCACTCTCTACTTTAAAGTCACCCGCCTCCCGTACTCTCTTCGCTCTGTCAGGGACCACTTCCTCTCTCTTGACCCCACCTCCCTCACTGTTGACCTCGTCGAGCAGCATCTCCTTGCAGCTGAGACTAGTGCGGTTGCTGTACGTGCTGCTCGTGGCACTCCGCGCCCGCCCTTCTTTGAGGGGTGTTCCCCCTCCCCCCTTGCCCCCTCCTACGCCTCTGCTGCTGCTGCAGACGTCTCTGTTGCTGAGGACGTCGGGGGTGCTTCTGCTAGTGCAAAGCGCCGCAGCAGCAAGGGCAAGGGTGGCCGGGGTGGTGGTGGTGGCAGCGGCGGTGGTGGAGGTGGCAGCGGGAGTGGTGGTAGGGGCAGCAGTGGAGGTGGTGGCGGCGGTGGGACTGTTGGTGGGAGCGGGGGCTCTGGTGGCGGTGGTGGAGGCAGCGGTGGGAGTGGCGGCAGTGGAGGCGGTGGGACTGGTGGCGGTGGGACTGGAGCTCAGTGTGTCGATTCTGGGGGTAGCCAGCATTAGCAGCAGCAGCGTCGGGGCGAGACCCCGTCTCCCCAGCAGCTTCGTGAGTGGTTTCTGCGTGGGGCGTCTGGGGGTAGTTGCCTGTATGTCATTCGCACGGATGACCGTGCTGGTCAGACTTGCGGGCGGCTCCACACTCAGCACCGCTGCTTCTCCCGCCTCGACGACGCTTGGCGTGCTGAGTTTGGTGACAACGTCGAGCTCCCTCGCTGGGCAGATCTGCTTAAGTCTAGGATTGCTATCTTTGACCTAGACTTTGATGCTATTCTTTCTGCTATGTATGCTTTGTCTGTTAGTGATGAGGGTGACTGTTACCGGAGTGTGCCGCCTGACCCAGGTATAGCTGCTGCTGCTCTAGGTGCTAGTGAGTCTGGTACTCTCCCTAGTACTGCGCCTGCTGAGGCTTTGCACACCTTCACGTTGGACTCAGGCGCCTCGCGCTGTTTCTTTCGTGACATCACCACCCTCACTCCTCTTCCTACACCTGTCCCGGTCAGGCTGGCTGACCCCTCCGGGGGACCGGTCGTGGCCCGTTCCTCCACTGTCCTCCCGTGTCCGGCGGTTCCGTCCGGCTCACTGTCAGGTCTTCACCTCCCCTCGTTCTCTACAAACTTGGTGAGTACCGCTGCCCTCCAGGATGCGATGGTCACTACCACCACTCCTGGGGGTCAGCGTGTGTCGATCTGCACGTGCACACGGACGGGACGTCACCTGGCCACGTTCACTCGTCGGCCAGGGTCGAGTCTGTACACCCTCGCTACCGAGC